GAGACGACTAACAAAATTCGTGAATAAAAAGCTTAATTTGAATGTGAGAATCCAATAACGCAACAAAAGTGGAAAAAAAAATATTGAAATTAATGAGAATGCTTATTAAATAACATACAATCAGTATTTTGAATTAAATCACTTCTACTTTGTTGATATCTCCTAATATTATTAGTTTCCAGTGATGACATAATCAACATTACCGCGCTTTTAAATATAAGTAGTAATTGAATAGGTGAGTGAGTACATTGCTTTCAATCAACATCGTATATCAATTGAGTAATAAGAAAGATGTCAAAACTAGTTGTGTTAGGTGGTAATGGATTCTTAGGTATGTGTATTATTACTAATGGTTAAATTAATTCAACACTAACAATTGGTTTCCATTTAGGAAGAAGAATTTGTCAAGCTGGTATTAATGCTGGTTTTCAAGTAACTTCATTATCGTATGTATATTAGATCCCTCAATTGAATTGAATTAGATCCAAGTATTAACATTGTCATAGTCGCTCTGGTAAACCACCAAAATTAACACCATTAGAAAATAAAACTTGGATTGAAAAAGTTGATTGGAAATCTGCAGATATTTTCCAACCAAATTCTTATAAAGATGAATTAAAAGATGCAAAAAGTGTTATACATTCATTAGGTATATTATTAGAAAATCAAAATTATAAATCTTCAATTAATTCAAATTCAAGTATCTTGAATGAATTTTCAAATTTTTTAAAACCTTCAAATCCATTAACTAAAACTTCATTTAATTCTTATGAAAGTATAAATAGAGATTCTGCAGTATTATTAGCTGAAACTTTTCAAGAAACAACAACTTCATCAAATCCATCATTTGTATATATCTCTGCAGATAAAGGATTCCCAGGATTACCAAAAGGTTACATAAATTCTAAAAGAGAAGCTGAACAAGAACTTTCCTCATTATCAAATTTAAGATCTATATTTATAAGACCTGGTTTTATGTTTGATGAAGTTTCAAATCAAGATAATTTAAGAACTTCAATTAAAAAATTTGTTGATTTAGCAAATTGGGGAAATCAATCATGTTTAGGTGGTAAAATTCCAATTCTTAATGAATTTATAAGACCAACTATATCAACTCAAAGAGTTGCTCAAGCTATAATTTATAGAATTCAAGATCCTGATTTTAATGGTGTTGTTTCTTTAGAAGATTTATTGGAAAAATAAGGGCGGCTAAATGTAAGTAAGTCTTTAAATACCCGGTGGATTAATATTTAAAAAAAAATTATGCATTTTGAATTATTTCTATATTTACTACTATTAATATAATGATTATATGATTACTCATTTCTTTGATTTAAAAGATTTTAAAGGATCAATTTTCCCACCTTTTTTCTTACCCATTTTTTTCTTATTAATTTTATTTTTATGGAAAGGTACAAAACTAATTTTTTTTTCATCAGTTCTTGCACCTTCAGGTAAAAGATAATTTGGAATTCTTTTTAAATGAGTTTGAACTCTTGCCGGGTGTAATTCTTTATCATGTCTTAAACTTGCTAAATCTTGAGGATTTTCTTCAAAATGTCTTTTTAATTTTTCATTTGTTAATAATTCATTCTTTAATTCTTTAACTCTTGCTTCTCTAATTGAAACTTGTGTAACTGATCTAAATGCATCTTCTGATCTATATCTGAAACCTTCAACCTGTTTCATATCAAATTGATATGGTTTAATTTCAAATCCTAATTTATTTTGTTGTTTTATAATACGACGTAAAATTTTTTCATCTCTTTTAGTACTTTTCAAAAATGAAGCTTTATGTTTACCAACTTCTTTTTCTGGTATCACAAATGATAAAGAAATACCTGCCTTACCAGCTCTTGCAGTTCTACCAACTCTATGAACATAAGATTTTGCACTTAATGGTAAATCAAAATTTAATACACATGCAACATTTTTAAAATCAACACCTCTTGAAACACCATATTCTTTATCTTTTTTCAATTTTGAATCTTTCTTATTGGATTTATCATTATTTTCCACTTCTCCTTCACCTTCTTGATCTTCATCTTCTTCATCATTTTCTTGAATATTATCACTATCATCAGTTGCAATTAATAAATTATAAACATTTTTATTATATTCATCAACAATATGTAATCTTGAATTAATTGGTAATTCACTATTTAAGATACAACTCTTAATACCAAATTGTTCTAAAAATAATTTTAATCTATAACCTCTATCAATATTATTAACAAAAATTAAAGTTTTACCTTTAATTAAATTTAATTTAAAAATAACATAAGATAATAAAAATTTATCAAATTCTGTTGTTTTAGCATAATATTGAACTAATTTAGATTTATTATTTAATTCATCATCATTTAACTTTAAAATTGCTGGAGAACGACAAAATTTTGTTTTTAAATCCTGGATATCTTCACTTAATGTTGCAGACATTAAAAAAGTTTGTAAAGTTTTTTTCAAAGGTAAATAACTTGCTAATTTATCTAAATCTTCTTGATAACCATAACTTAAGATTAAATCAACTTCATCAATGACTAAATAAGTTAACTTACTTAGATCTATTGAATCATTGTTTTTCTGTAATGAATTTATTAATCTTGAGGGAGTTGAAACTAAAATTTCAGGATTTTCTAATAATAAAGAATGTTGAACTTGTTCATTGATTTGATTTGATAAATTTAATATCTTAATACTTTTACCACAATATAAGATTAATTTTTCCAAAAATGAAGTAACTTGTGTAGCTAATTCTTTTGTTGGTACTAAAATAATTGAAGAAATTTCATGATCTGAAGAATTGTTATTAGCTTTAGCATTTAAGATAGATTGTACCACAGGGACAGAATAAGCGACTGTTTTACCAGAACCTGTTGAAGCTTTAGCAATAATATCTCTTTTTTCTTGTAATGCTAATGGAATAGCTTTTGATTGAACTAAAGTTGGATTTTTAAAACCAAGTTGTTTTATAGCTTGGATTAATCTTGGATCTAATTTGAAAGATTCAAATGATATGGAATCATCGATATAAACATCTGAAACAGCAACTTCACTCATCTTGTTTTCCCTTTGTATAAATAAATTCTGTTATAATGATTTGTATACTATAATAAAAAGATGAGATGAGCTTATAATAATTTTTTTATTAAATTCGCGAAAGATCGAATGCTTAGTCAGTGATTACATCATCAGATCAAAAAAATCAAAAAGTGTTGCCCTACTGAAATTTCATTGTTTATGGTATTTTGTATACTTAAAAAAAGGAAGGGCAATTGGTTACTTTAATGGGTTATTATGAAGGTGATGATAGGATGTGGTGATTATGGGAATAGCTGAGTCTGGCTGATGGTGTTATGGCTGTTTTTTTGGTAGTTTGGTTTTCTCGGAGTTTTTGATGGGTTTTTGGTTTTATTGATATTGATCATATTAGGTATGAAGTATGCAGTCAATTCTAGACTTTAGTTTATCAGCCAATGAGAAGATGCTATGTTATAAGCTACATGAAGAATTGATATCACTAATGAGGAATGATAATTTATGCATCATTTGTTAAATTGCTTGTTCTTTTCATAGGCAAGGATGTTTTAGGGTTTAAGCTTTCGCTTATATATAAACTTCTCAAAATTTCATTGTTCAAATTCTCCCAAAAATATCATCAGTTGCTTATAAGTGACCCCCTTATTGATCAATTGAGTCTTATAGAAACTATAGCTCCAACTATGAAACATTCAAGTATTCCCAGCTCAATTCTATCTGTATATTTGGCATTAACTTTTCTATTTACAGAAGTATCAACTTATAATATACTGGATCATATTAGTGAATATGAATTAGAAATTCAAAAATGTAATTATTATAATGATGAATATAGAAAATTTAAAATTGCATCAAATAATAATGGTGATCCAGTTCGTGATTTATCAAAAGCTAAAAATTGTTTACATTTTAAACCACCAAAATCAAATGAATTTAAACATGGTATTATCTTTATTGGTATCATTGCTTTAATTTCATTTATTTTAGCAACACGTCCTCATTATCAAGGTCAATTTGATAATTTTGTGAAAATGATGGAATTTATTCAGGAAGATAGTTCATTCAAGAGACAAAATAAATTTACAATGATTTTAAGAATTTTGTTTTCTTTTAAATTTATATCACTATTGATTTTATCGTTGATTTATGTTCCGTATGTATTAGCAACATATTCAATTATTTTTTTGGTTTCAGCTCAATTTTAACTAACGTTTCATAGTGTCACTGGTACATATGATGCTATCAATTATGTCTCAACTAAAATGTTTAAACGAGAAGAATACCCATCACAAGAGAATAATGATAATAATGAAAGAATTGAATATTCAGCTATAAATGATCAAAACTTGAATCAGAAAAGTATCAATGGGAGCTCAAGTAATGAAGATCAATATTCAGGTGAATCACAAGGTTTATTAAAAGGACCTACTATCAAACATGATCAAATTACAAAAATTACAAGATCACAAATTGATAATTTTACAGAAGATTTATCACAAAATCAATATAATTCATTTATGATTCCAACTGATAGATTATTACCATCGAATAATCAATCAATCATATATTTAACTTATAAAGACCACGAGGGAGAATTAGATAATGATACTGATGATGAAATTGAAGATCAAGAAAACTGTAACATTTGTCATGATAGATATCATGATTATGATGAAATTGTTAAATTACCTTGTAATCATATTTTCCATGAAGGTTGTTTAAAGAATCTCCAAAGAAATCAATGTCCAAAATGTGGATTGGATTTAGGCAAATTTGAATCTTATCTGAAATATAAAGGATTGAACCCATCAAATGTTGAGTTTCATAATGAAGAATATGTGAATGATGTATATTAAGCTGCCTACAATGGTTTTATATCTAATCGAGGGTATATTTGTTTTTGTTTATATATGGTTAATCTTACACCGGGGTTTCAAATCACCATAGAGTAGTCTCATAAGCAACAACCTACTAAGAAGAATGAACATGAAAGCTTTAATAAATCTCAGTCTATTGCAATGCTGATATTTTAATGAGATTGTTTTAGTTTAATCATTCCATTCATAAAAGCAAATTATTTTCAAAATTGGTCCCAATGTATTTGTGGTTTGGCGGCTAAAGAAAATAATATTTATGAATATTTTAAAAAGGTATACCTTTAAAAGTCATCATTTGGTTGACACGTCACGAAGAATTCCATTCATATATTAAATCAAATTGGATATAAATCATGAAGTTTTTCAACAATTTAAGAGTCTCTTGGTTTATACTAGGCATATGTTTATTATTTCAATTATCAAATACATCACCAGCTCCTCAATCTCAAGTCCAAAGCGTTACCAATCCTGATCATTCTCAGATTAATTACTCAAATGAACTTTCAATTGATCATCAAATAACCAAAACCATGGATATTAACAATTCGAATACACTGGAGGTTCATGATGATGATGAACATTATTCATTAGAATCAAGATCAGATAAAAAGAAATCTAAAAAGAACAAGAAAGCCAACAATTCTGAGAAAGATCATAAAGATGAATTCAATGAACTTCATCTAATTTGGATTGTTCCAACCATTATTGTTCTGGTGACTTATTCAATAATGTTTCTTTGCGAGAATTATGAAAAGGGTACCAATAATAATCCTTAATAAGGGTTTACACAATATATGAATTACAAGAAAAGATGTGAACAAATTATCCAAAATGGTAAGAGAAATAATGAATCTTCATTATGGTCATGGATGAAAGTTATCATTAGCTTTAAAACTATAGGAATGTTTATAGTTACTTTATTTTATTTACCGTGAGTATAAAAAAGCTGTGTATTATAGGATCATAAGTATGATATTAACAATTGTCATTTATAACTAGAGGGTTTATCATTATCGGGACAATATGTCTTATTTATTTCTTCATAACTGGTACATATAAATTATTAATATTTACTGAAGATGATAATCCACCATCAGAAGAATCGGACACTGAGATGCAGGTTTTCAGTGAAAGAGATCCAAATTCAAATGTTGTGACAAGATCACAAATTGATTCTCATAATTTTAACCAAGAGACATTATCACAAATTGCCGAATCATCAATTGTACCACCAGATGATTCTTACAAAATTATAACTACAACAGAATTAGAATCACCAGAACATGAAGAATTGCTGAATCAGGATGTTTGTTTAATATGCTTTGAAGCATACAGTGATAGCCATGATAATTTAGTTGAATTACCTTGTGCTCATAAATTTCATTATAAATGCTTCATCAAGACTGGGAGAGCTAATGGGCATAGAAATGATGTTGAAAGACCAAATATGAAATGTTGTACTTGTCAATTAAGTTTAATTCAGTACCATCAATATCTTGTTGACTATAATTTGGATCATAAACAAGTTGAATTTGTTAATAAGTGAAGTGATGGTTATTTTACACAAATTTCATGACATTTTTATACATATCATATAATCAGATATTGTGATTTTGACTGTAACTACCTGAATCAAATATTGAAAATCCATATAAAGTGTTGTATCATGATCATGATGTATATGTATTCCTAATTAATATAGATTGTGAATATTCATTTCTGTTTCTGAAGTAATTGTAGTGATATAGATGTGGGATTATAACCAGCCGGAGTTCCGAATCATAATTAAGTCAACCTTTATAACCAGCAATTAATTTATTTTCCTAAATATTAAGAGCATATATTGGAAATAATAAGGATTAATAGCCCATCTATAGCGTAGCTAAATGGATAAACTGAGCAATGTTTCGAACGATGAAGCTGGGATGAATAAATCGAAATATTCTCAAAATTTGATTCCATAAATTTGTGTGGATCATCATTTTATAATGAGAACATTGAGTGGTTTAATTTGATGAATATTATATTATATATTATAAAAACTCGTTTCTATCCAAAACAAACTAGCCAGTCTTGAGCCTCTAAAATGTATAGCAATCACTAATTATAAGCATATATCAATAATGAAGCTTTTCAAAAGTCCAAGACTAAATTCCTGTCTCATACTAAGTATATGCTTATTATTGCAAATTTCTAATACATCACCAGTTCCTCAAGGTCATGTCTCAGGCTTTTCAAATCCTGATGAAGTTCAAGTAAATTACCCAGATGAACTCTCAACTGATCATAACATAACAGAAATCATGGATATCAACAAATCAAACACATCGGAGGCTCATGGTGATGATGAATATTCTTTATTTAAATCAGGATCAAATAATGATAAAACTGAGATTGAATTAGAAGCCGACAATTCTGAAAAAGAGCATAAAAATGAATTCGATTTAGTTCATCTATGTTGGATTATTCCAATTGGTTTGTTGTTTATGATAGGTTCATTAGGATTACTTTGTGGTAATTACACGTCGGGTACAGATGAAAATCCTTATCAAAAGTTCACTCAATATATGAATTACAAAAGAAGATGTGAATATATCATTCAAAAAGGTAGAAGAAATAATGAATTTTTATTGTGGTCATGGGTGAAAGTTATCATTAGCTTCAAAACTATAGGAGTGGCTATAGTGACTTTATTCTATTTACCGTGAGTATAAGATAGTGTTATTAAAGGACGTACCCAGAAGTATTAACAATTATTATTCACAAGAGCGTTCATTCTTGTAATAATAGTATATCTCATTTATCACTTGATAGTTGGTACATACAAATTATTAAGACTAAATGAAGATGAGTATCCACCAATACAAGAGCCAGAAACTGAACTCCCAGTTTCCAATGATAGGGATCCAAATTCAAACGTTGTAACAAGATCACAAATTGATTCCCATATTTATGACCAAAACAAACTAGAAGAAGTTTCCAAATCCTCAATTATACCACCACATGATTCTTATAAACTTATTACTACAGATCAATTAGAAACACCTGAATATGAAGAGTGGAGAAACCAAGATGTTTGTTTGATCTGTCTTGAATCATTTAATGAGATCCGAGATCATTTAGCTCAACTACCTTGTGCACATACATTCCATTATTCATGTTTTATAAAGACAGGCAGTATAAATGGGGATAGTAATAATGTACTTGGGAGTCCAAATATGAGATGTTGTGCTTGTCAATTAAGTTTGATTAAATATCATCAGTATCTTGCTGATTATAAACTAGATCATAAACAAGTTGAATTTGTTAATAAGTGATGGATATTTACACAAAACTTTCTTATGATCATGACAAATTTATACAATATTATAATGTAAGATATCATGCAGATTATGAGTGTCATTATAATTACCTTGTAGTTGAATCATGTTTTATGTTTGAAAAACTTCAATTCAAAAATGATTATGTCCAAAATTATGTAGGCTGGATATGAATCTTATCTGAAATTTCATAACTATGAAGAATATGTATAAATCCATGCTAGCTGTTGAATGGATCCTATCGATTGATTAAAACATATAATTGGTTTGCTAAGTACTATAACATTTCATCTAATGGTTAAAGAGAAAAATGCTTCATACGTTTGAGTGGAATATAATCGCATAAAAATCAAAATGTTCTCAAAATTTGAACATATGGATGGTTGATTATATGAGAACATATTCAGTGATTTAATTTTATAAATATAAAAACGAGCTAAAATCCAGAAAATGTCCAAACATGAGTTTTAAAAATACATCTATCAGTTATTTATCTGTATATATGAATCATGAAGTTTTTCAATAGTTCAAGACTTTTGTGGTTTACAATAAGTTTATATTTATTATTCCAAATATCTAGCACATTACCAGTTCCTCAAGCTGAGATTTCAGGACTTACAAATCAAATAAAACACTTAGATGAACTTTCAATTGATCATCAAAATACCAAAATCGAGGATATCAACAGATCAAATACCTTGGAGGCTCATGATGATGATGATGATGATGCTTATAAACATTATTCATTAATATCAAGATCAGATATTGAGAAAGCTGAAAATAACAAAGAAGCCAACAATTCTGAAAATGATCATAAAAAAAATTTCAATAATCTTCATCTAATTTGGATTGTTCCACTTTGTTTGGTTGGGGTGATCATTTTATTGGCAGCATTTATCAGTAATTGTGAGAGTACCGGCGATAATCCTCGTGATCAAGGGTTTACACAACATGCCAATTACCAAAAAAGATGTAAAAATATGATTCAAAATGGTAAAAGAAATAATGAGTTTTTATTATGGACATGGATTAAAATTATCATTAGTTTTAAAACTATAGGAATCATTATAGTGTCTTTATTTTATTTACCGTGAGTATAAAATAGCTGCTGTGTATTAAAGGATCATAAGTATGATATTAACAGTTATTTATAAGAGGGTTCATCATTTTCGGAACCGCATGTCTTATTTTTCTCCTGATAGCTGGTACATATGAATTATTATCAAATAACGAACATCCAGTCATCCAAGAACCAGCCACTGAACTCCCAGTTTCAAATAAAAGAAACCCAAATTCAAGCGTTGTAACAAGATCACAAATTGATTCCCATGTTTATGACCAAAAGAAACTAGAAGAAGTTTCCAAATCCTCAATAATAGCACCATATGGTACTTATAAACTTATTACTATAGAACAATTAGAAACACCAGATTATGAAGAATTGAAAAATAAAGATGTTTGTTTAATCTGTCTTGAATCATATAATGAAGGCCGTGATCATTTAGCTCAATTACCATGTTCTCATACATTACATTATTTATGCTTTATCAAATCAAGCAGGATAAATGGGGATAGTAATAATGTACTTGGAAGTCCAAATATGAGATGTTATGTTTGTCAATTAAGTTTGATTAAGTATCATCAATATCTTGCTGATTATAAATTAGACCATAAACAAGTTGAATTTGTTAATAAGTGATGGATATTTACACAATTAATTGAATTGCTATAATAAATCATTTTGCTCAAGTAGTTTAGCCATTTGAAGTTGAATTATTAGCTAATTTTTGAATATAATATTAGCTATTATATAAACCTTCAGGGGGATTAGATCACAAATAAATGATTGGCTTATACTGCAATATTATAGAGTAGCGATCATTTGTAGCAGCATATATTAAGAGCAATGGACATGAATGTAATAATGAGAAACCGTTTATTACAAAAGAATGTAATTAAAAGTAACAAACTCACCTTTTTTTTCAAACCATCGGTCAAATTTATTAGCTGATTTACCTCCATTCGAACTCCAAAGGCGGAATTCTATATTTTCATAAACATCAACATATACTTAAAAAAAAAACAACATCAAGAGAATTATAATAAAAGGTTAATTTGCTAAAGGTTTATAATAATCATGTACAATATTTGCTAACGAAGAGTATGGCTTGAAGCCAAGAGTGAAACACATCAAAGTCAGATGTTCAGCAATGCTCAATCTTACTTAAACAAGAGCAGATCATTACAGTATTACATTTAAATTATAAAAACTATCACAAAACCAAAAAAAATAAAATATATACATACACATAAGAATTGAAAAACATAAAAATAAAAAAAAACATTTTATACACACATTATATGACACAATAAAAAACAAGAGAAGACAGAAAGGGACAATAAGAGGAACTTATAAATGCAAGCCGCTAAGCAAACACCATGTGGGGTTTATAAGACTACCAAAGCTGAATGACACCGAAAAAATCTCTTAAATATAGTTAAATTAAATTTATAATATACATTAATATAACCTTTAAAAAAAAAAAAAAAAAACTCAGCGTGTAGAGCTCATATAACTAATACCAGCAGTACAACTATACCTGATGACTGAATCTTATTACCTGGAGCTTGACTTACCTTTATTGGAGGTATAATAATAGTAGTAGCATATAAGAAAATCCATGTAGTAGTTAGTATAATACTGTACCTTTACAATACCCATAATCAACTTAGAAATCCCTTAATGTATTAAACTATACAATAATCCATATTAGATGATAACCTATCCTTTATATATAATATTCCAAGACAAGCCACTGACTGGAACACGGATAGTACTAATATGGTAATTAACTCTCATTATCTCCAATTCTAGAATAAGCTGATTGGTAATCTCTTAGTAAGCCATAATATTAGATTGTCATAAATTAATCCTAACAGATTTGTTTATCCGCTGGATCACCAGCTTGAATAATTCTTACGTAAGCAATTAGGTAATCAAAAATATTAAATTATAAATTTAACTGATTTAATAATGGCTTTTAATTGGTTTAGACCCTTGACCCTACTTATTTTAAGCTTATGAATCTTATGACATCTTTAGAGTCCTGAAATTCGTAGCTTAAAATTTTACAATTTTTAATAATTTTAATTTCAAAGTTAAATTAAAATTTATGAGGTCAATAATTTTTAAAATTTTAAAAAAAATTTTCAATTAATCACCTTTAAATGCTTAAATTTTGAGTTCATGATGAAATGAATCTCAAAATATAATTAAAATGATCATCATAAATACTTTTTATAACCTTTATTACACTTTTAATCGGCTCAATATAAATTGAGATGATCTATTTCCGAGGGCTTGATAAACCCCGGATTATATAACCGATAGCATTTGACCATCAACATAAATTACTTACATTCGATTTTACGAATCTCAAAGTTCAATCCCTGTATAGAGAGTTGAGACCTGGGATAAATCAGTATTTCATTCTTTGATTCAAATGCCATCTGTGCGAGAATGAACTATATCTGTGATGTTAAACCTCGATCCCATTTTAACGGAATATAATAATGATCCCTGTAATGAGGTGCATGTGGAAGTAATCAAAGTTGAAGATCTTCTCTAAATTTCCTCGTACCTGATATTTGATGAGTTGAAGAATTAAATTTGATACCTTTTTAGCATGTGGCGACACTACATGGCAGGGTTGTTATTGTTTAAAGTATGCAAATTGTATTGAATATTAATTAAATCTCATGATATGCTTGAACCATTGAAATTTATATAGAACATGCCTGGTTAACATTGTATATTCAAAGCAAAATGTAAAGCCTAAATAAGTAGATGAGATCTATGTATTGCTCTTAACAAGCTCTGTAATCTAAATCGAGCAGTGTGGAGGATCTCGATCTTTTTTTTAGCTAGGATGTTGAAAGGGTTTGTACTTGACAATCTTTAATAAAATAGCTAGGATCATGTACTTGAGATCAGCATTATTCTCGAGGAATTATGCAAGCACCAAACATACTTAAAACACCGTTTAAGTAACTTTACCATTTAATCGAGCTTTCAAATCCAAAGCTAGCTTAAAATTATGTTCAATAACTGATGGTGGTATTGAGTCTTCAAATTGTTGTAAAACTTCAAAGCAGCAGTATGGTAAATGATTTTCATGATAATTAAGACACTCAGAGTTAAAACCATTTTCAAGATCATATAGAACCTTGAACTTCTTAGCAGCATCATGCTCTTCATTTTCATCTCTAGTAATTTTAACTTCTGATCTATTGATAATCTTGAAAAGTGAGGCGTATCCAATTGGCGCTTCTTTTGTAATTGGTACGGTATTACTTGGATCAATGACTGGTTGATCGTTATCTGAAGAGCGAGATGAATCACCAGGATCTGAAGCAGAAGACTGACTTGAGCTAGAAGCTTTCCTACCATATTTATTTCCCTGTCTATAACCGTTTTTCCGTTGGTTTCCTCTGTTATTATAATTTCCTCTATAGTTTTGGTTTGTTGTACGGCGGCTACCATTAGCATCATCATTTCCCTTCTTTTTGAACCTTCTTTGAGCTGATTCTTCACCGTTCTTCTTGAATTCCAGCATGATAATAGTTTGTTGATAGTGTTTATTGAATAATTTTCACACTTGAAGGTGGAAGTGGTGGCAAAGCTTGTTTGTTGATTTGAATTTCTTCCAGAGGTTTTCCCAAACCTTTTGTACCCACCTTCCTAAAGCATCATCAGTATTATATGCGAGACTACAGAGGCATTCAAAGAAATATTGGATTATTATGCGTTTAATTAAAGATTAAATTAAATATAAATAAATTCATGTTTGGACAATATCTTCATTTGCTTTGGTTTTTAAAGGATCAGTATCTTCACGTCTTTCTAAAACCCTATCTGCCAATCCCAATTCGACAGCTTCTTCAGATGTTAAAAATTTATCCCTATCTAGAAGTTCATGTATCTTTTCCAATGTGGTTCCACGCTTAATATGTTTTTGATATATTCTATTCAATCTTTCTCTTGTTTTGATAATATGTTTTGCATGAATTTCAATATCTGATGTTTGACCTTGAAACCCGCCACTTGGTTGATGTACCATTATTGATGTGTTTGGAAGTACAAATCTTTTATTCCTAGTACCTGCTGCAAGAAGTAATGAGCCCATTGAATATGCTTGTCCAATTGCCACTGTGGATATTTCACAACGGATATATTGCATTGTATCATAAATAGCAAGCCCTGAAGTGACACTACCACCTGGAGAATTGATATAAATGTTGATAGGAAGACTTGATTGTGACTCTAAATATAATAGTTGAGCAGTGACAGTAGTTGCTAAGTTATCATCAATTGGTCCTGATAAATAAATGATTCTTTCTGAAAGTAATTTGGAGAAAACATCATAAGCATTTGTTGAGCCCCTGTTTATCACAAAGGGAACACTCCCAATGCTTCTTCTTTGTGTTTTGTAGATACCACTGAATAATTGATTTTGGAAGCTTGTTCTAAGCATCTGCTGGTTTCTGTTGCTCTTCTGATCAGATATATTGAGAATTTCTTTGTTTCTTTGTTAAAGTCAAGATTTAGTTTTTATTTTCCTTTATCTCCCTTTGTTTTCAAGTTTTCTGGGGTAAGCACAAACATTCGCACTATCGCAAGATTAATGAAAACGAAATTAATACTACAACTCATAGTCACTTATAAATTAATCATAACATTAAAAACACAAATAGACGAAATAACTGGTAAAAAAACAAACAGTCATTATAAAATAAAACGTCAATCGAAAGGGTATAATAAAAAAGAACTAAACACACATCTGAAAAATCTTTAAAATATCAAATAGCACATTTAAAATTAAATCACACTTTTGGCTGTGTCAACAACTTTTTGTAAAATTGATTCTTCTTGAATTGGGTTACCATTAGCATCATATTGAACATCATTACCAGTTCCTCTAGTAGAGTAAGTATTTGATTTGTTACCATATGAATCATAGTCATTTGTGTTGGAACCATAAGTATTTGAACCATAAGTATTTGAACCATAAGTATTAGAAGTACCTTTTTGAGTGGTGTAATTAGAATTGTCTAAAGTGGATGTCTCTTGAGTTGATGATGATACAGTATTACTTGGGAATGTACCTGGAATATCATCTTCATCATAAGCTTCACCTCCATATCTTCTTGAAGAATCAGTACCAGTAGTTTTATACTTGTTAGCACCTGAAGTATTACCTGAAGAAGAATATTTATCACCAAGAGCTGCACCAGTAGCAGCACCAGCACCAGTAGCAGCACCAGAACCAACACCTAAGGAACCATTACCAGATTTTGAAGAAAATTCATTTGCTTTAGTTCTTGTGCTTCTGTCTTGACCAGATAGTCCAGATTCAAGTTTTTCAGCAGTAGAAGGACCAGTAGAGTAAGCACCAGATTTTGTGGAGCCAAAGTTTTGGGTTCTATCATCATTGGAAATTCCTGCAACATTAGGGCTTTGTTTTGATGTACCATAAGAGCCAGTAGTTGCATATGGATCAGCAGTTGTTGGTTTAGTTGCAGATGTTCCAGTAAGACCTTCAGCAATTGGGTTTCTATTTCTAGAAGGATCAACAACAGCTTCAGCAGTAGAAGAGCCATGACGGTTACTTGATCCATACTTTTCATTAGAACCATATGATGATGATTTGGTATTTGAACCACCATAAATATCTTCACTGTTTCCTGGTTTAGAGCTGTATCTTGAGTCAGAAGTTCCTTTAGTAGCAGAATAACCAGCAGCACCAGTACCAGCACCAACGCCTAATGATTTAGCTGCGGATGATTCAATTTCGTTTCTACCATTCTTGGAAGAGCCTTTACCAGTAGCACCTGATTTTGAATCAGAATGAACACCGTGGGATTTATCAAGTTTGGAAGTATCAGCAGTAGCACCAGATGCACCATAACCGGCAGAATATGCAACATCATCTAAAGTTTCACCATTTGGACCAGTTGGTTTGGAAGTAGATCTTGAGCCAGTTGAAGAGCCATATGATGATGATGTAGGATCACGAGAAGAAGATTTGGTAGCACTAGAAGTAGCATTATTGGATGATGATTTACCTTTACCACCAATATAATCATTAATTTTATCACCATGCTTATCGTAGGTGTCACGACCTAAATCTTTAGCTTGTCCAAATTCTTTTTCATGACCAGTTTTACTAGCACCATAAACACCGGCTGCACCAGCAGCGGCACCAGCGGCACCTAATGTACCTTTATCAATTCCAGAGGATTTCTTACCAGATGAAGTATTAGCAGTTGAATCTTTAGAGTATTTGTCTTGGGAACTACCATAACCTTGTGCACCTGAAGTTTTATCTAATTTGGAGGTATCTGCAGTTGCACCAGAAGCACCATAGCCAGCAGAATATGCAACATCATCTAAAGTTTCACCATTTGGACCAGTTGGTTTAGAAGTAGATTTTGAGCCAGTTGAGGAACCATATGTTGTTGATGTAGGATCACGAGAAGAAGATTTGGTAGCACTAGAAGTAGCATTATTGGATGATGATTTACCTTTACCACCAATATAATCATTGATCTTATCACCATGCTTATCGTAAGTATCACGACCTAAATCTTTAGCTTGTCCAAACTCTTTTTCATGACCAGTTTTACTAGCACCATAAGCACCGGCTGCACCAGCAGCGGCACCAGCGGCACCTAATGTACCTTTATCAATTCCAGATGACTTATTACCATGTTCTGAACTAGCACCTTGATCATATTGACCAGAAGTTGAAGAAGTACCTTGGTTATAAACAGCATCTCTATCACCTTGGGTTCCAGATTTTGAGGAAGTTGAGCCATAAGCTCCAGTATCACGGTTTGAATGACCTGTAGTACCAACATCAGATTGATTATCATAAACAGATGAGCTAGTAGAGGCTCTCTTTGCTAAGCTAGAATTATCAGTGGATTTCTTTGAACCACCAAGACCCAAAATTGAACCGAAGAAGCCACCTTTAGCAGAATTTGAAGCAGTGGAATCATCATTACCAGAAACTGTAGCATCTCTATCACTTGTGCCAGTAGTACCAGTAGTATCATATTTATCAGTAGCTCTAGTAGAGCCATAGACATTATCACCAGCACCAGTTTCAGAAACTTGAGCATCTTTACCAGTGTTGAAATCTTGACCAGTTTTACGTGAATAATAATGAGTTGGTTCATAACCTGTAGTATCAGTAACATCATTATTTTCTTTACTGTTGGCATACAAGTTTTTGTAGGTATCTTCAGGACGGACAGCAGCACCTTGGTTTGCAGCTCTATAATGAGTACCAGTAGTAGAGTTTGGATCAGCACTATATCCAGTTGATCCAGGGCCAGAGCCAGCACCAGCACCAATGGCACCAGTGGAAGCAGCAGTAGCAGCAGCGGCAGCACCATTACCTGGAACACCAGTATCGTTAGTGGATGATTGGGTACCATAAGCGTGAGGAGATGTACCGACTGGAAGAGCAGTAGATTTATTTTCAAATTGGTTCTTGTAAGCTTTGTCCTTGGCTGAATTAGCACCAGCACGAGTTGCACCTTCACCAACATCAGTTCCTTCAGGATCATAATCATAATCATAAGCAGGTCCACGACTAGCATGTCCACGACTAGCATGACCACCAGCAGGTTTGTTAGAGCCTTTACCTAAAGCATATCCAGCTGCAGCGCCAGCGCCAGCACCAGCGGCTGTAGTACCATATCCACCAGATTTATCATTAGAATAATTTGGATCGTTTGAATAATTTTTACCGTGTGTACCAGAGACATCTCTTGTTGTAGATGTGTTAGCATAAGGATCATTAGAGCCTGAAGATGGATGGTAGTATTCTTGATCACCAACACCAGAACCATATGGATTACTTGAGTCAACACCAGAGGTGTTACCTTTGTTGTTGTGATGGGAAGCAGCAGCAGCACCACCACCTAATCCAAGAGCAGCAGCAGCAGCACCAATAATACCTTGGTTTGATGAGGATTTTTGATGATCATCATAACCAGTTGCAGTGTCAGTATTATAAGGTTTTGAAGAGTCAGAATAACCAGCAGTGTTAGAGCCAGTACCTTGAGTGTAGTAGTCATTATCACGGGAAGAAGTAACACCTGGAGCACCTGTATAATCAGAAGTAGCACCGGAAGCACCAAAACCTGCAGCACGTCCAACATCATCTAAAGTTTCACCAGTCTCAGGATTTGTAGTTTGAATTCCTGTAGCATTACCAGTTAAATCTCTATTCTTGTTAGTTGAACCATAAGCACCAGTGGTTGAATTACCTTGAGGATATTGAGACGAGCCATATTGATTATTAGAACCGTAATAATCACCTTCATTACCTTCAGGAATTGAATCGTTTTTCTTGGATTTGTTATGATGCCCAACGGCAGCAGCACCGGCAACACCAGCAGCACCAGCAGCGGCAGCAGTACCTAATCCAGAGCCACCAGTACCTTTGGTATGAGCTTGTTGAGGCTCAGCAACATTAGAAGTAGCACCTGAGGCACCCAATCCAGCATGATATCCAACATCTTCCAATTTTTCAGGATCATGATCAAAAGAATTGACACCTCTTTGAGTACCACCAGTAGTAGCACCAGCACCAGTTAAGCCTGAAGTAGCACCAGAAGCACCAAGACCAGCATGGTACCCAATATTTTCAAGTTCAGCTTCTTCATTAGTCTTATTCTTGTTAAAGAAACCACCTCTGGCGTTTGGTTCTTCTCTCTTTTCATGGACGTAGTTGTTACCATAAGTTTCATGTGAGGATGAATCATAATCATTATAAGCTCTCTTTTCTTTTCTCTTACCAAACATAGAGCCAATACAACCAACACCACTAAATAATGAACTTAAGAATAACAAGGCGACAGAACCCCAAATAAAACCAAACATTTTTTTACCCAAGCTTGTTTTTCTTCCATCAGATTTAAAGTTGTTACGAGCTTTGACATAAGCAGCGGTTAACAAAGCAGCGGCCAAGGTAGTGAATAACAAAGCAGCACTTGTAGCAAAACCTGAACCAATACCCAAAATTGAAAGTGATGGCAAGCAGAAACTGACAGCAACAGGCAATAAGGCAAGTAATGTGAATAACAAACCTAATAATAAGAAAGCCCAACCAACTCTTGATAAGTAATAAGTGATACCACGTTTGGAGCTGAATTTTGATGGAATTCCAGAGCTTGAACCGAAATTGCTTCTTGGAGACATTGGATAAGCAGCTTGACTTTTAGTACAGTCATAGTTTCTACCATTTTGAACACCACAGCTGTTATAATTAGTCCATCTAGTAGTATCATGAGCACCAGAAATACCAGATGTTTGAGCTTCTAGCCAGTAGAATTTACCCAAGACTGAAGAGTTTGAAGCACCACATAAAATGTTGAAAAATAATAATAAACCTGCACCTAATAATGCTAGGAGTGAAATGATATATGGCCAACGCATAGTGAATGAATTGACTTGCGAGTTAAAGTGATTGAATAATAATTGAATCAATTAACAGTAACGTTGTTGATAAACTTTCCAAAGTCATTTTGATAAAAAGAATTGAAGTGATCGTTTCAAGTATATATACTTGCCATTTAGCTGATTGATATTATTGCTATCTCAGAGAATAAAATTTCAAATATCATCACGAATTAACAGTCTGATTTGGTATAATTTCCTAAAGTATCCATATTCTTATTGTCTAATTAAAATTTGAGCTTTGTTGCTTTTGCTTTTTTTCAAATTTGTATGGAGAAATTTTGCACAGGCCACGATAAATTTCAAATTAGTGTGTACAGCTTTTAAAATTTCGAGAGTTTAATACTACGTAAAATGTAATTATTGCTAATTTCACATCTAATACTAAGATGTATCTGTGGAAATTTAATCTAATTTTGGTGTCAATTCTAATATTTAATTAAGATATTCAAATTAAACGTCATTAAGTGACCAAAGTTTTCGCCAGTATAATTGGTCGATGTTCAGCCATATTGATGCCTGATAATTTCAACGTCAGTCATTGATATACATAACACCACTAGAATCAATTAGTTGTTTAATTACTTTGATGCTTAATGTATTCGACCTTATATGCATATGTCTATTATTTATATAACCAATGGAGCTTATAATTTATCTCGTGTGTGAAAATTCCAAGTTGATAGATCATTAGATCACCAAATAGATTTTGTAATTTAGCTCTCATTAATTCTCAACTTTCAGCACATGATCCACTCTCTTAAGATTAATATTGTTAATTTTAACGGTTGCGACATGATATATGTCTCTCCTGTATACTATATAGCAATGTTTAATATGCCTGGCGTCTGGACTCTGGATTTGGATCAATATTAGAGACTTTCAATTATAATAATAAGTTGAACTCATGATAATAAACATATATATTAGGTCATATTAGTCTGTATCATAGTACCATTTATAAACTATAATAATAATTGATAGTTCTATCTATGGCCTTTAATTAATGAAACTATAAGCATAGAAATGGAACGTGAACTGCGAATAATTTCAATCGCGAGAGCAACCGAATACGTCATAATTTAACAGTTCCAACATTTGACAGCACTATCTTCTTTCGAAATCGATTACTTAAGATATATATAATCAAAGCTAATATAGTACTATAGTAACTAGATAGTTAATACCATCTTATATTTGATTTGTAATTAAACTTTTAACCATCGATATATATGTTATAAGATATTGAAGAGCTATAATGTTCACTTTGTTGTTGCGTATATATAATGGATCTATTATTTGGAAGCAGCTGTCAGCTGTCAGCTATATAGTCTCTTTTTACAAGCTGAATTGTACCCAAAAGAGTACTAAACAGCGCTATATACGCGCTAGCTCTATAATTAATTACTACTACCTATTCTCAGGAAACCTGAGGTCCATCAGTCTTTTAATCTGAAAGTTGAAAAGATTATTGAGTGATTAATCGATCAATATCATGTCAAATGGACGTCAATGATTGTCGTTAATTTTCAAACCGTTGCATACTAGACCCAGAAGTCCTGATCATGAGGATCAGTCAGGACGTCAGGACGTCAACTAGTCAGGACTTGTAAATTTATTTGGGCTTCTTTCAACGCTTTACGCAGGAACCTTTTCTCTATGCAAACTTTTTCAAGGCTAAACATATTTATACAGGAGAAAAGTACCAAAGCTAGGTAGATTTTTGACCTGATGCGTAATTAATTAAAATTAATGAAATCAAGAAGCAAATTCAGATGCTACTTGTCACTTTAGGAATTTGATTCGACGTTGGGAACTTGGGATTCAAAATTCATCCAATTTCTCGATAATATTTACGGCGTTCTAATAAAACACCCTTAATTACGAAGCTGACAGCTTAAACTTATATTAATCTAAGCTGTCTCGAATATCTTTCAAGATTTCGATTCTCTATCCTCAAACTATAATTGTTACGACAAAGAGGGCAATTCAATCATAATAGATTTAATCATTATCAAAATAGGTCCATTCGACAACATGTAGACAAGGGCTGGACCTATAAGTCGACGTGTGATTAGAGGATAGTTTTTTACGGTGACGATATCAAGTATCAACCAATCAATTGTTATTCACTAGCAGTATCAATGAAACCAGTAACTAGTAAGTACTAATATGTTCTATAGTATGTAGTATGTGCGATGTAGTATTTATACCATGGCATGGACTAATTCACTTCAACTTTCCCAAACAATATAACACCGCTCTTACTACTTTTGCATATATATCGAGAGATCTGTCTAATTGATTAATCTACCAGTCGCCAATCTTTGGCAAACTTTAAAATACTCCGTGGACCGTGACTAGTCCCAGGCTCCAGCTGCCACGGCCCAATAGAACGCTTGATTGTTTTTCTCGACAGCGCTTTGTTCCGAATTATATATTTCAACATTTCAACAATACGTGTTAGCAAATTGTAATACTGACTACGTAAGCTGCAGTTGAAACGCTTAAAGTAATGAAATTGCGTCCGTTTTTTGCTCAAGAAATAATGGATTGCAGTGAATTTAAACCACTTCACCTTAAATTCCATTAATTATATAATGTACAGGTAAAAGTCGATAGGCTACTAAGCAGCTAGGAGCTTGGAAAAATCTCTGGCATCTGCCTCCAGAAAATTTTAGACTTCCGCGAGCATATCCCCAGAATGCCTTGTCAAAAAAATTCAAATTTGGTAACTCATCTTGCCCTTACGGGGTATAGGCTATAAACTATAGCTTACACCTTTAAAACTGATAAAATAAGCGCACAATTAAGGCCAAAGGTGCATAGATTAAATTTATTATAAGTAGGTTCTATCTCAGTACCCAGTAAAATTAATACCTAAATTGAGTTATTGATTCTTAATTCATGATCTATATTCTAATTTATTTGTTTTGGCATATATTTAAATTCACTCATGTTATTATCATATATATAGCTGTCTAATAGTACATCGCCGACAATATACAAGTACATGACCCAGCCCAATTAGATCGAGAAAGTACAGACGAATTACAATTGGTATATTTTATCATATATAGAAACCAAGCAAAAACCGTTGAACTAATATTAACACATATGACAGCCCAGCTATAGATCTTAAAGTATTATTGTAGATTAGTAATTCTTAGCATATCGGCAGCTTACCATATAGCTTAAAGTACACTATACTTTGTATATATAGTACTTGAATTCTGTTAGATCATTCACCATTTTACAGCTCATTATAACTATAAATTTATAATGCTATAATTCAATTGCCATGTATATTAATATAATATATTATAAGACAGGTTCGATGCAGACGTACAAGTTATACGTTGAGAAAGCTTACGATCTTTTATAGACATAGATATTCTTATATACGCGATTACGTTAAATATTTAAAAATAGGACTAATATTCTAATTAATTCACATCTGTAAGCTAGCAGTACTTGATGTTTCAAAAGGTATGTCCATGGGTACATCGGTACATATCCTTTTATAATGCTCACTAGTTTTATAAATTAAGTTTAATTGAATAAACATCTATAAATCTCATGTACCTATAAAGGAGCGGAGTCCTACAAATAGATTATTCAGCAGTATATATTTATTGATTTACATCAATTATATACGTCTTATTTCGATATTATGAGCTGATTTGAATATATTTCGTTATATAGATGATCTCTGACTATAAGATAGCTAACTATATACAGACTGTAATGTCGCGTGTAAATTAATATGATATATATTCTAGTATTCGAAAATATTTATGCGATTATGGAGAGTGGTTAACAAGTTAGCGAGCTGCTTGAGGAGACCCACTTTTCGAAATCACTAGACCAGTTTAGACTCCGACTATGAGCGAGATTAACAGCAGCTACGTAAAACATCCAATAAATATTATAGATGTTAAGTGGAGTCACACATAACTAAACATGATAAATGCTTAATGCACTACTACTTAGTACTTACTATATATATTAATATTAAATTTTATAGCTAGTCTTCAACACCCAGTATAGTATATAGCGCGTAGCACTAGAATAGTTGTACAAGCTTTTGAGGCTTAAACCAGTCTGAACTTTGTCATCATGAAGAAGTTGAGATATAAGAATAGTATGGTATATAGTCAATAGTCAAGGGTAAACTAGAGTCGATTAATGCGTTGGGCTATTGACTATTGATAGCTCTGATAATATAAATTGACAAGTTGAAATTTAGTCTTAAAAAGTTACTAGTGGTCGCTCGTGCAACTTATAAGTTGTGTATTGATTTGCATAAATATCGAGTCTAGTCGAGACTTCCCAGCGCCTGCTGCATTGATCTATGTTTCCGAGTCTATAAGAAACTTGCATTGCGTTAAGATCTTATGCGCTTCTCGTAGTGGTATCAAGGAATGCATAAAAATACATAAGATTCAGTCTAACCATGAGTTTGGCTTCGAGATCTCCAGCACCAAACCTTTCAAGTTTCAAATTCACTGTAAAAGTTTTCGAGTTTTAAATTTTAGCAAGGGGTCGAAGAGGGCTAATTAGCGTGTACACTGTACAGTTCTCCTAAAGTCTTATGACTCTGATCACAGTGAATCGATCCTCTTAATTCTACCTTATAATGTAACATAATTTCCCAAGTATGCCCAATATGCAGCTTTAAAGTTGAACGGTAATTTCCCTAAACTACGGGAATCGAGAAAATTCTATTGTTCGCAATTTCCAACGCACTTAGACGAGCACGTCATGGAAGAACTCCGTAAATATCCCCATCACGAATTTGACTACAGCCTACACTAATGTCCCCAGCTAATTAAAGTAGCAAGAAGTTTAAAAGTTAAAAGCTACGGACCAATGACTGGACAGTGGGTAATTACTATTTGGTTTTTACCAAAAATACAAAGAAAAAAACATTAATATAGTATATCGGATCCTCCATTTTGAGCCGATGTTAAATTACTTTTGTCAGCTTAAACGTACTCAAGAGCTGATATTAATTATATAGCGATCTTGATAGATAGCTAATTTGTATGTTATATAGCTGTACTTAAGCTATATATATATACATATATTATACATCGTATACAGAATTAAGTATATCAGAGTTTAGCGACGTTAATATAGTATATATCAATTCCAAGCACAAATATATTATATAGACCAAGCAGACGAGAGAACGGCAAAATTAAGAAGTCACGAACGAACTTGGTGATAATATAGATCTTATCCATCACATTGATCATATATAAAATATTAAGAAGATGTGCAGGGGTGATGTGTGGTCATCTTGTATATTTAATTTAGAAGTTCAAACAATCGATTATATAGTTTATTCATATCTAGAATTACTTATATAGACAAAATCTCTGAGCCACCAGATCAGCTTACACTTTGTATATATATTATTAAAAACTTAATCAAGTACATATATACTTTTAAATACTAGATTATTTATCATATAACTAGTACTAGTACATAATTTGTAATTTGTAGATAATTATCTTGATAAATTAATCACGCATCCGCTGAGCTGTGTAACGCATTTAAAGCGGAAGAATTACCTAGTTGTCAACAAAAGGACTAAGCTAGGCCTGCCAATTTTAACTGTTAATTATAATTAGCAGACGTTTTCCGCGCAGCTGGAAGTTGTGGATGAAATTTTTTTAAACGTTCAGATTCGGAATCAGTATACCACTCACCACAACTTACAAGTGTATATCATAAGTTAACGACCCAGATGATCCAAGCTTCCAGAATTCAGAATCTATCGCCTCAGTGGCCTCAAAGTTGTAGTAACTCATCAAATGAAAGTATTCAGGTACTTCTGAAAACCTACACTAGTGGCTACCGTTAGAAAGAGCTGCTACAATGATCTTAACTCCTGATAATTTTATTTACTAGTAGTTGTCATTTTTCTTGGACGCCATTGAGGTTTGAAACGATATTGTATTTAGAGAATTCTCAAATACTTTTAAAATGATGTTAAAAACAGCAGAACGTTTAGTTTATGAAGATTTCTCATTGTTAGCTATATTGACTCTTGAATTTTAACGTAAATATAATCGAGACTTGGCTCTTGAGCAGCAAGTTGCAAGTTGCAACCAGTCCACTTAAAATTGATTAGCATATGCAAGCTTGACAGCAGAAATCAAAAAATAGAAACGGTCCAAACCCAAAGTACATGATCGAGAAGCTAATTGGAATTTGAAACCCACTTTTGCGCGGGTAGTTTTGATCAAATACCTTCAATATATTTGATCATTTCAGGGATATATTCAATTGATCATGACATGTATGAGTCCTACACGTCGTTAAAAATTAGTTATAGAGGAACCACCACCTGTAACTTATATATATTCATATTACCCCTAGCTGTCGGATCACTAGATATATAAGAATTAGCCAACCCAATTACCATGCAAGCGTTGACTCGATGAACATTTGACACATGATATGATCTAATATGACAATTTGCAGATGAGTGAAGTTAATTAATGCATGGCACTATAGATTTCATGAGATATAATTGTACCAGCTACTGTTAATTTCAAGATAAAACATGCCAATTAATTAAAACATAAAACACGACGTTATATATTGAATAATATGTAGCTGTGTACGTCTATACATATATATTTACAAAGTTTAAATATTAGATCACCACAGCTGTACTTGCACCTTGATCGATACTTGTTATATATTTGTACTTGTAAGCGTAACTTGACCTTCAATATATATAATATTTTTCTTCATCAAGCCTAGATATATCGACGCGTATATATATTGTACTGTCAGTACCCCTTTATTTCTAGCTGACTAGTTTCAATTTACTAATTTTCTATTCTACATTATTTTCCATAACTTGCAACTAGTGAACTACTAGTGTTATATAGAGAACAGCTAATGAAATATTGAAATAATCTTATACTATGTTATACTATTAAGTGTTTGTAGTTAGCGTATAAGGTATATGTACTCTTATGTACATATATGTAGTCCAGCACAATAGAGCACTAGAATTGCACACCAGTGGCACCCATTGAAGGTGCAGTGATAGGCCCGGGTCGACCCGCGTAGATTCAGAGATCTGATAATTCAAGATGGTCAGTGGTCACTTATAAGGTATTGATCAAGACGACATTGGCTGCACTTGAAAATATTAAAGTTGCATGTTCAATTGATTTCTCAGTATGAAATTACTTTCGATAATTACTGTTTAACATATATGTTGACCAGCTAACTGTGAGGCTTCAACCTTGACACTAGATGTTATCTTCAAACGGAGTTGAATTCATTTTAGGAACTGATATTCGTACGTGCAATCTGAAAATATTCATTAAAATTCATGTGTATTCGATCAGTATTCGATCAGTATTTACGTCGACAATTATAGCTGGTGGTGTAGTCATGGCTTATATGATCTAACAATCAAGCAGAATATTTACGTCGTATATTATACCTACCTATTCGGCAGTATATAATTAAGATAATTATGAGAAGCTCCCACGATATAATTATGTATATATATTACTACGACCAGTTACAGTAACTTTCATATGAGCTAGCTGGATCAATTAACTCTTCAGTAATCTAATTATATTATTATCATGATATCGTTTCATAATTACACAGCTTATAACCAGCAGTCTCTAATAGTTTTAACTCTTGAGATACTTGAGTTTACGACGTCATCAATGAACTTCTAATTGACTGCATTCGTTAAAAAGATAGTTGTTACAGCTTTCACTGCAGCTGTACTGTGATTTTAGCCTATGTGGATGATTTAGTAGGAGGTAGACCGTTCGTTTGAGGTATATATATATCGGCTTTTCCCAATTATATACACATATATAAGATTCAAATATATTTATCTGTTTAATACTGGGCCATATAGTATCGCAAGTTCATGCTCGTATAGACTGGTAATGATCACGACTTACGTCGAATACACTTCATATATATGCGAGTGTGGTTCAGAATTTGCGATTGGTCCTATATTATCAGATTATAATTTATATCTAGAACTCTCTAGATACCATATAGCTAAATTACTCGAAAGCTAAATAGCCAAAAATAGCAATTACCTGGGGAAGATTTAAAGTTACACTAGCTTGGCTATAGTTAAATCGGATGATCAATCATGAGCTACATACATATAGAAAGCCCTATAAATCAGTCTATATTAATACTCAACACATGGTTCCCTATATAGCCTATTTTTCAGTCACTAATATATAATATGTACTGTGTGTGTAGAAGAGTCATATAATATACTATAGATTTATGATCTGCTTGATATATATATTATAAGCCACGCTATATATATTTGTCATGCTTTGTCATATTAATATACGTCGGTAGTACCTACTGTTACAATATATCATCGATCCTTCAGGAATCAGCGTACACCAATAATTGAACTTCCGAAAATTTCAAATCTTCACCTACAGGATGATCGGGTGGTACGCACCCTCATAAGTTACATCTTACAATTGATGCTTGACAGATAATTACTACTAATTATTAAAAGTGTATTCCTGATATTCCCATCGACATACATAATAATTAACTGCGGAAAGACTTAAGACCTTGGACTTTGAAAGTTTACCTAGTCTCAATTACGTCAAAACTCTGAAGTTTGCCGCCAACATGGAAGCTTGTGCATCCTGCGTTCAGACTCCAGACTGTAAAGCTTTTCGATTCTTGTCGTAAAATTAAAGTACACCAACTTAACAAAGCATTGCATGTAATTGGTGGCTCTGTCATACATAACTTCTATCAAGTCAAACATCGATCATTATAATATGCGGGAAGACTACTCGAAAAACTGAAGACTAGCGTTTTGGAAGTTCTAACTTCTAACTTTGGATCAGCTGCACACAAACGCTTTGTCAAAAAAGAAGCACAGCAGTTCTGTTAACTGCCGCTAAGCAAAATGAATAGAAAAAAAAAAATTAAATGTTTCAAACATACCAGATTTGAATCATATTGTGCCTGTCTTATCCTGCATCTCTCACTTTGATATAATATATATACCATGAGATTAGCCCATTATACATTTTCTTGTTGTTCGATCATAGAATTTGGCGCTTGAGCTCTTAAATATAAAGCATATCTCTATTTCTTGCAACGGAGTGGACATCTAATAGTTCCTAATCCAGATACACTAAGGAAGATTCGTTGTTAAACCAAATTAGTTTCCATTAACATTATACGGTCGTTACTATCCCAGGCAGCTTATCCAGAAGTGTTTAAATAGTGGTTCATTTTCCCACAACTATTTCAATCAAAACCTTTCAATAATCATTATCATCATCACCATCAGTTATAATTCAAAAATCAGACAGCTATATTTATTTATAATCATAGCTGGTACAATTGGTTCAGATTATACAATTCACTTCCATAAATACAACCAAGATATAAAAGATTGATGTTACAAAACAAATCTTTTATGCAAATTGATAATGCAAAAAGGTAGAAAGTTCAGTGATAATCCAGAAACGAATATACCATATAATAACAGTTCAACTTCTCAACAAGCTATACAAAGTTCAAGCAATTCAACAGCTCCACCTCCTGCTGTTTTGTCAATTCATCCAATTGCCCCTCCACAAGTTTTACCAAACCATCATCCAGCAAGTGCAATTCCAAATCATAATCCTCCAAATATGAGTGTTCATCAAAACTATTATCCCCAAGCCCATCCTCAATTCAACCAATTGAACCCTTCTAGGGTACCTATGAATGATGCTATAGCCTTTAGCTCTATGATAGATTCCAATATTGGTGGTAAACTAAATGATTTATTTTCAGATGCATCAAGTTACAACTATCAACCACCAGTTCCTACAATATCCTCAGCTGCTGGTCAGACATACTATCCATATGGACCTACTCCAATACCTCATGACATTCAATCAAGCTTCAGAGGTTTCCAAAATGATCAAATTTATGGTAATCAAGCTAATAATAACCAAAGAGCCATTCAACAACAATTCCCTCAAATAGCTTCCCATAATTTCCCAAGACAGGATTTTCCACAACCTGCTTATTTCCCATCTGACCCAGAATCATCACCAGAAATACCCAAAATGAATCCATATGAATTTGATGAAAGGAAAAATTCATTCCGTTCACCTCCAGTGAATATGCACTACAAACCAACATTGGGATTTTATCAATCACCTAATCCCAAACCAGAGCTGGAAAGCTATGGTGCATCTCCAAGTATAAGTGATCAAAGTTTCAGCTCAACACCTGGTAATATACCATACTACAGTCATATTCAACCTCCATATCCATTTCGTGATCATAATACAAGTACAAGTACTGCTGCTTCTTCCAAACCTTCATTTTCCATGTCCAAAACTTCAACAAGTTCACACTTGAAAGAAAATCGAAATGATTCTGTGGATTCATTCAATTCTATATCATCTACAAAAAGCTATAAAATCAAAAAACCTAAGAAGCCTGTCAATCTAAGAGGTGGTACTTGCAAAGTATGTGGTAAGGTTATCAAGAGAGATATGACTCGTCATATGAGAATCCATGAAGAGGTTAGTAGATTTAGATGTGTTTATCCAAGGGGAAGTTGTATTCACAAAACTGGATTTTTCAATCGTCAATATGATTTCAAGAAGCATTTATTACATTTCCATTTTGATTATGATGATCCTTCAGTTAAAAAGCTTTATAGTTTGAATGAAAAATTACCACATTGGGGGACTTGTTATTGTGGATTGAGATTCACTGGTGGTGAATGGTTACAAAGTCATATATTAACCACTGAAAAGAATCATTTGTGCCCACACTTAGCAAGATTGAAAGAGAAAGAAAAGGAAGATTATAAAAATAATCCTAATCAAAAATTAGATAAACATGATGATGAAGATTCTTCTGGGAATGAGAGCTACAAGTCTGGAGCTGATCATGATTACTCTGATTCTAGCCCTACAAGATGAAAAAGTCATCTCAATTATTCGTTGCTATACAAGGTTTTTGTCGTCATTTTGCAAATATTAGATATTTAAGTATTTGTTATATTATATATATAGTTGGTGTTATTTTATTCATAGTTTAAGTTTTTTTTATTTATCTACAAAAGGTACATAGTTTATATTTTAATTAAAGGCTGTAATATTATTATCATTTAAAAGTCACGATCATATAAATAGAGCTTTCGAAAAGAACATTTTTATTCAATGTAGTCTGAATTTTCATTTCGATGATGGTGGCAGGTAGTATTCGAGACTGGATGGTTATGGAACTTTTCAGCTAAACGCCTGTTGAAAATCTAGAAGAGTCGGTATAACTTATGAAAATATCTAGACACTCATGAGACCTGGGCAATTCTGTTTCAAAACATGGCGGATTAGAATTGCCAGTCAATAGAATTTTCTAAAAGGTATAAAGTATAAGGTACAAATCTGTCTAATAAGACGAATTTTAATATCTGAATACATTTGAACTTCAGGAAAGACAGCTAGCGCAAAAGTCCCCAGTTTTTGTTAGAAAGATTACAGGACAAAGAACAATGAATCCAACGACGTCCAGTGGCGTGCAGTAACTTATTCGTAATGATCGATGTACCACTCAATTCGAATGCCTTACAGAAAAGATAGATAATTGCCACGGTCAATGCTGATACACAGTTGAAATCAACTCGACATGACGTTTATATATATTACATATAGCGTTTAATCTAGATGGCCGTTGGCTAAATAATTTATATATTATATATTATTGAATATAACACCTTGCGATGTACCGTGGGTCAAAACATATATTCGCTACATATATTATTGTGTTGGTGATTTAGTACCTTAGTATCCCATGAAAGTACTATGTATAAACGTCGTCATGTCTTACAATTAATGTCACTTAAAATACTATGAGCAGCTAGGCGATAATAGCTGTTCAGGTAAATAGAAGCACTATAGCTAGAGCGTTTGGAATCCCATTCAATTCCAGTCTTTGATTGCCGTTAAGCTGTGCATTTATAAGGGATTCAAAAGGTAGGGGATGGATAATTAGTATGTAGGGGGGCTTTAGCTAATCACGAAAGTTTATGGTAGCTGATCTATCAATAGTAATTTAGGATGTTTATACCATCAATTGATCACAGAAACAAGTGAAAGAGGTTCAGAGAACAAGATTTAAGCTGTTGAATTATAACTTAGCACTACCGCGTGCAATTAAGGGATGATATCACCCGTCTACCGTAGATTGAATTGGTGGAGATTTTTGCTTAATCAGGCCGATTAAGATTTAAGTTTTCCGCACGCTGGCGGCTGCAGAGAATAATCAAATTTTACTTTCCATGACATACCAGCTATAGAATAATTGAAGAACGTAAAAATGTTGAAGTTTTGCTTGATAATAGATACTAATTAATGAAGATCGTATAGAAATTAATTATCATATAAGCTTGAAGCTTTGATTTTAATCGGTGTTCCACCACGTAAGCGCAGAAATCGTTAGAGCTGCGACTAGCGAGCATGAATATTCATGAATATCGATATATGCACCAATAACCGATTACTTAATCAGCTTTCACCAGCTAATTCATGATGATAATATTATATGGACGTAGTAAATTGTAATTAATCATGCATATATTAATAAAGATATTTGTCGGATCTCGATTAATTACTTCTGGTGAGCACTATTTAGTGAGAAATAGAGACGCTAACACTAGTTAGTAACGGTAATGCTAATGCTTGATCTATAACATCCTCTATTTCATGTAAATAGCCCAATAGCTAGGATCATGAGTTATAATCGAATTCGACTAAGCTATATATATATACTTGATGGCAGAAGGACTAGCTGGAAGCTGGAACAATTTCATCAGTCTTCACGGAAATTTTCCGATTATTATAACGTGTATATATTGATAAATCTTGATGCTCTTCATCATGAATTCAATACTAAGTTTCCTGAGATAGAAAACGCGTTCCTGGAGATGTATAGAATCTGGAATCTGGAATCTGGAAGTGTTAAGCTTTCGATGAGTCGTCGATTCCTTCTTGAATATGCGAGTCGCTTATATAACGAGATCTGGAACTGGCGTTTAGTAGCTTCAAAGTAAATTTGCAATATCTACAAACAGCTAGAGAAGATTATATTATAGGCCTGCTTCTTGATTACAAGTCCATTCTATCAGTCGTATTTAATGCAATTTCAGACTAACATTAAGACTTTGTTTAATACTAATATTCTAGAACGTACACCCTTATAAAATATATCATCACAGTTATTAGAGCTGTGCATATACATTGATTGAATGTTCGGTAATTGAAAACCAATATTGCTATACATGAAAATGTTCCTAGATCCAATTAAATAATCCATCATCCAGATTCCACAGGCTCTTTTTTAAGTAGCCTTACATGATTAATATACTTTGACTATTGACAAAAAGGTGAGATTGACTTGAAATTATGGTGCCCAACACAGCGCCAAAACCCATTGTAATATGTTGAATATTATATTCCTATTGGGAATATATACTAGATGATGATATTATAATATATACCGCGCGTTATCTACATTCAGCCTCAGCTTTATAGGTATACTCTACAGCTTATAGCTTATATAGCCATGAGGCTCTTGACTCTTGACATATATGAGGACGACGCGAATAATTATGAACGTCAATATCAACGTAAAACGATTTACGAATTTGAAGGATTTATATATTAACATGGAAGTTCTATTTCTTTGCAAACCAAGCGAGTAAAAATATCACTGTTTGTATAACAATGCGACAATTTACAAGCTTAGTTTTGCGAGCATTGTCGGTGTTTTATCACGACATATATATCGATTCTATTTAGACTAATTACGGGTTATAGCGCTACAGCTCAACGGTTCTTTAGTGTAACTGACAGATAGGCCTCGGCCTACACATTTGGTCCATCGAACGTCAATCTACTTCAAAGGACCAATTGATCGACTTTAAGAAAGATTATTAATTAGATTCGAATGTTCATTACAGTTTCTTTGAAGCCAGGTACCTCTAGTTCCAGCAAACTGCAAACTCCCAGGTTATGTGATTTAAGAAGTGCTACTTTTGAATTGAAATTCAGCTGGAAAAACTTGTGTACCACAAATTCAAGCTTCAGCCACAATCAGCTAGCGTTTAAGCGCGCTACGATCTTCTTTTTGCGACTGAGATTTTTGAGTCTCAACTTTCAAGTCTCTTCTTCAAAATCTACTGAAAAAAATTGCTCGTCAAAGTTCACGCATAGAACTGAGATCTGGCAGATTTAATGCATGTAAGTACATATATCGCTCTATAATACATACGTAGTCCCGACTCCATAGGCTAGTAGCCTAGTACGTATACCTCTGCATATAATTATACGTAGATATTTAATATACGCGAGATCATACAAAAGTAAAATCACAATTATATTCAAATTGATATTCAACTAGACAGGTTTTTTCTTTTATGAAGATTATATGATTGAGAAAGAGTGAATCAACAATTACGACCAAAGCACAGCTGCAGTTTCAGCATATATCGTATATCGTTAATTGCAATATATAATTGGGTATACTATATCATGACGTTGTACTGAATCATGATAGATCCGACGTTGATTACACAATTATAGCTTGCGCCATTTTAATCGTATTCATGGAACTTAGTAAGACTTACGAACGCGTCAAATGAGATATCGAATCTCGATAAAGATGATCTTATTACATATTCATACGAGGTTAATCATGTTCTTTGATCATGAGGATCAAAATTAATTTTATAAAATGATGATATATATTATATATACCGGCAATATTATTCATGCGTTTCTCAACATCTAGAAGCTCGAGATGGTAAAGCAGGGTAGAAATGTCAATAAGAAAATATATACTGCAATAGATTGAACCATCTGGCCAAATCTCAGAACATGATCAATTACATATAAGCACATTTATTTTTACCGAGCCGTTTTAAATTTTCAACGTTTTTCAGCTAATCAATGTGAATTAATTTTATATATTCATTTCTATGCTTGAATTTTGAAATAACTTCTTTGTTTTCTCACATCAAACAATAATATTAATACGAGTTATACGAAGAGCAGAAATACTTGATCATGCATTAGAGAACTTATATCTTTCAACAAAATTATTAGTTAATCAGATCCATAAAAAGTGTCCCTGTCAAATTCAACAAGTTTCCAGTACGAATACCTGGTCTTGGCTCTCCAGTATGGACCAGGAATTCTCATAATTAGGAAGGTACTATTACAAAAGAATAAAATGCAGCCAGATGATATGAAAGCATTCTTATAACCCATATTTAAAACCCAATCCGTCAATCCATAACTAGCTGCAAATGACATGATATTTCTAATGACTATAACAACAACCATAGCTTCAGTATCTAGTTCATGATATGTATCAGAGCAATATGTACAGGCTGAAGTACATCCAAAAACATTTAGTCCTCCAAGTACACCCATTGAGATCACTAAAGCCATCCAATGCGCACCATAGTATGCTCCAACACCCCATCCAATTGAAGCCAAAAAGCCCAAGATCATATAAACCATCAAGACCCATAATCTATCTTCAGGTATCGACGAACCGTTTCTTTTCTTAGCAATATGAACTTTCAAAAAATCAGAAAGGGTACCTGCAATGAAGAAAAAGAAGACACTGAACAAAGTTGGAGATAGATATGCTAAACCACACATAGCAGGAGAAAAATTGTATGGATCACCACCTAAAATGGTAGCTTCTGTGGCATTGAGCAAATTGAAGAAGACCAAAGTTGAACCATATAAGAAACCAGCCCATAAAACCGAAAGAAATCTAATCATTTTGAATGGTGTTTTAAAGTAATGTACCAACAAGAATTTATTTCTAAATCCACCTGTTAAAGATAGTTTATCTCTGAAAGTTTTTCTTGTTTTACTAGAATTGAGCTCTTCATGATTTGAAACAGCACCTATCTAGCTTATCAATGGATTGTAAAGATCCAGAGCCAAAGGGACGATATTTCTCTTTAGATTCAGTTGTATTGCTATTGTTTTCTTCAGTTTCTATACCTTCTATTGTGGTAAGCGACTTAACTTTGGAGTTACGATCATAATTTGTTTCTTCCACAAAGAAGAACAAGAACACAAAACAAACAGCTGAGAAAACAGATGACATCCATAAAACCCATTTCCATCCCATCCCATCATAAACGAAACCAGCAAGCATTGGCGCCATATAATTTGCAGTAAATAAAGCAACAGCATATATACCCATTCCCTTAGCACGCTCATGCTCAAAAAAGATATCAGACAATGTGATTTCACATAATGATTCAATTGGCGATCCAACAAAGCCTTGCAAAATCTTATTACCAATCCATCCACCATTTGATTTCGAATATGGTGCCCAAACACATATTAGACACGTTGAAAAAACACTGAATAAGTACACCGGCCTTTTACCATATTGTAGAGCTATTGGCTGAAGTATTATACATCCTATTCCAAAAAATAAAAACATGTAACCAGTACCAGCATTGAGTTGCCCTAGAGTTATATTAATGTTTGTCAAGACTGAATAAATAGCAGCAGATGGAATACCCACACCAAATGTATAAACAACATTACAAAAGACAGCTAGCCATTTCCTTCTTGAGGACCAGTTCAATGGATCATCATAATCATCAGAAGGAGTTGGTAATAATATGTTATTTGACTTTCCTTTTGCAAGGCGCCCAGGGATGTGTCCATCTAGATCAATTAGATGTGAATTACCTGGGACAGTTTCATAATCAATATCTTTTCCAACCATGTTTTTATAATATTAAAAGCATGCTTCATATCTAGAGTCTCATTGTGAAATAACAATTTTGGAAGCTGTTCACATTTTATAGATCTTTTTGAATCTCCACCTTTGTCTTTTAGCATATGTAATTCTCAACAGCACACCTAAGCTCTAATCAACAGAGGCTTGTGCGTATACCCAACAGCAGAGAGCGATTAGTATCAGTCAATTGATATCAATGACCTATAATTAGAATATGATTATCTGCAATAGCATCTAGTTCACCAATTCGAAGCTTATAACTCGAGTCCATTAACCTTCATGATTCTTCCCTGTTGGTTTTTACTTAGTATCCTCCGAAATCAAGAAAAAGTCCAAATCAAAATCGGTAGCTCTGTCGCTTGTTCCTAATTAGGACATCGCTCACCTACAAGCTATAAGTCAATATTGGCTCATACAATATATCATTCTTCTCCATTGATTAATTGAACTAAACAAAAATCACAGAAGCACTTTGCTCATAATTCTTTTGTCAAACAATATATCTAATCCTCTGGTTTTAATTTCATCGCAATCTGAACTTGTTCCCCATGCTATTTGGAGAGCTTCAAGGACACTATGTATATTACGACCATGCATTATCTCTCCAATATTCTTTAGAACATTAACTATCATATCTTTTTGTATGTGATTGATACATACAGTTCCTGCTATAAAAGCTGGGAAAGTACCAATGGCTTTCACCTTTGAATTTGGGGTAATCAATTTGAATTTTTCCAATATACTATTCAAATCTTTTTGTAGTTCACAATCATCAACTTTGATCTCCATTGATATAAGTTTTTTTAGGATCAGTTTTGCAGATTTTGCAACTATTTCAGACATCAAAACACTATCTCTTAGATCTTTATATTTTCTGGATCCAACTTTGATATCAGAAGGTATCACTGGTGATGTATAGAAACATGCCAGATCATAAAGTTTCTTAGCAGTAAAAAGCATTAAAGGATCGTGTAACTTTTTGATCAAATAAGAAGCTTTTGAAACCAGTTCAAACGAGTCAAGGGAAGCACCAAAAACTGGATTATTCATCCACGCAACATCACAATTGAACAGTGGAGTTTTCAAAGCCTTTCTTAGATTATTGAAGACTTCGAAAGGGTTTGGGAGGTATTTGTGACTTTCTGAAAGCAAAATGGCAACTGAATAATTATAAACAAAGCTTTCCAGAAACATTTTTTCAAAAATAGTATCAAAATCATGCGATCCATATTTGTCTAAATTACTATTCCTTATATCAATTGTCAAATTATCAGTTCCGAACACTTCAGGATAGAAATTATGAAAATCACCAGTTACTTGTTTAGTAGCTGAAATATGTTTATGGACACCATTCATGATTTGACTTTTAGATTTAGAGCTTATGAATCTTGATTTGATTATTTTGTAAGACTGGGATAAGTTCAAGACTGCACTCTTTGGTAAGTTGTTTGTACCTTTAGCACATAAACACATCAATTGCAAGGCAGCCCCTACCCAATTTGATGAACAATCAGACTGATCTGATAATAAATAGTCTCCCAATGCATTCATAGCTATTTGATACTTTTCCAATGATAATGGTATCAAATCTGGGTTCTGCCATGATAAAAACGAACAACCACAAGCTGAAGCAATCTTATGCATGATAGGATTTTTATCTATCCATGGAGTAAATGTGGCAGATGTTGTAAGGGATGGATGTGTATACTGGGGACCGACAGATTCTATAAAGCCATTAGCACAAGCAAAGAGAAATTTTTGTTCAGGATCATAAGTGAAATGTGAAAAAAAATCAACCTGGAAGCCTGTTCTAGATTCTGGCCTGTTCTCAATATCCAAACAATAGTTTGAATCTGGGGATTCTTCTCTATTATTTGAAGCACTTTCCGCTTCATCTACTGGCTCAATTATACCAGATTTACCTCTCTTTGTTGGAAGATAATTTTGCTCATCTTTAGTGATCAATTGACTATCGACATTTTTATTTTGAGAAAACTTCACCACTGATACAAATCTTGAATGCTTATGCTTTTTTGGAATCTGGAAATCAGATGGGAGTTTATCTCTTGGATTCTTTGGCCAGATACATTCCAAATCTTTATTTGAACAAGTTGAGCAAATTGGTTTTTTCTCATCACACTTCTTCTTTCTTTTACGACCTAATGTGTTATCGTTAGTTTGTTATCAAAGGTGATGTTCATTATATAGATGTACTCACAATTGAAACATCCGTTTTTGGAGCGGCTAACAATAGGCTTCACTTTTGGAGGATAAGCATCAAGAGATTCAAATTTGATTAGATGTTCATGAGGAGTAAGCTTCATCTTGCTGATTCATCTACGTATTTTGGCTCAATGTTTTGTACCAGACGAAACCTTTAAAGACCTAGTACCACGTTGTAATTAAATTACCAACTGATGAGTTGTTATTTTCAAGGAGCTAATTCAGATATCAAGACCTTTTGAATATAAGAATAATTTTACTAAATTTCTACCCCTTATACCTCAATACTTCTGATAAGACAGATATCTGTAGATCCTCGAATCAAGTTCGGGAGTTTGTTATCACACTTTCTAAGCTTTATGCAGCTCCAATTCAAATCGTCAGCACTGTAACACAATCAATATTTTTGAACCCCTTCAGCTCAAACAAAAGATTTACATCAACACAATCTCCAACAATATTCAGCAAGATCAGTTTATTACAAGAGCCTTAAGCGACACCTTTAATGGAAACTGGGGAGATAAGTTTAGCCAAGTAGAGATTGGACAATTTCCAAGGCCTTTATCAAGACCGTATTTCCAAATATGGATGTTTTTTTCTTAAGCGCCACCGGAACTCTGAAATCTCCATTTTTGATTTGATTTGATTCAGCTTCAGTAAACCTGACTTATCAAGCACCAGATTGAGGCCTTTATCTGTTGGTGAAAGTTTCAATTATTTAAGACATGATGATTGCTGTTAGCTTGAATTGAATGAGTGTGAAACCTTGATCATTTCAAATAATTTATTCACAATGACAACCAAAATATTATCAATTGACCATACTAAAGAACCATTACTCACTTCAATTTCTGCTTATAAAGGTGACAAAGCTCGTTATGAGAAAGAATGGGTCCCAAAGATCAAGGCTTATAACAAGAAACTATCTGATGCAATCCCAAAAGAAAACTTAGCTCCTGAAAGTTTAGTGCCTGCGGATTTAGATAATGCTGCTTTCAATGCAACTACTGTTCCTGAAAAGGTTCTTGATGATCAAAGTATCAAGATTACAAACTTGACTGCTACAGAAATTGCTACCAAGGTTGCTAAAAGTGAACTAACCTCTTTAGAGGTGATCACTGCTTTCATCAAACGTGCCACTATTGCACATCAATTGACAAATTGTGCTATGGAAATCTTATTTGATGATGGTATCAAAAGAGCTAAATACTTAGATGATTATATTGAAAAGAATGGGAAAACAATTGGTCCACTACATGGGGTTCCATTGTCGTTGAAAGAACATTATGATTTCAAAGACCATGTCACTCATGCAGGTTTTGTTGGTTCTTTGGATAGAGTAGCAACAGAATTTTCAGTTACAAATCAGATTTTGTATGATCAAGGTGCTGTGTTTTATATTAGAACTACTGAACCACAATGTTTGATGCATTTGGACAGTATCAACAATATCACTGGTAGAGGAAGAAATGCATATAATACATCATTAAGTCCAGGTGGGTCAACATCTGGTGAAGCTGCATTAATTGCATTGAAAGGTTCACCTTTAGGTGTTGGATCTGATATTGGGGGATCAATACGTTGTCCTGCTGCGTTCAACAATATTTGGGGTCTTAAACCAAGTACTAAGAGATTATCGCTAGTTGGCTGTTATTTTGCTAGTTACAATACATTTCAAGAGTCTATTGGATGTGTTTTGGGTCCTATGAGTAATTCTGTTGAAGATTTAGAATTGTTCATGAGGTCATATTTAGATACCAAACCATGGGTAAAAGATCAATATTGTGTTCCAATTCCTTGGAGAGAAGTTTCAACCCCCAAAGCTCAAGAACTGACCATCGGTATTGTCTATGATGATGGTGTTGTTAAACCCCACCCTCCTGTTTTACGTGCGTTGAAAGAGGTTGAAAATAAGCTTAAAGCTTCTGGTGTTAATGTCGTCACATGGGATTCTCATAGAGTTTACGAAGCTTGTGAAGTTGTTAACGCGTTATACACCGCTGATGGTAATTATGCAGCAATTGGTAAACTGAATGACTCTGGAGAACCATTGGCTCCATTAAGTGAACTTTATCTACAATTTGGTAAAGGTGATAAGGGTCTAACTGTAACTGAAAACCAATTCTATAATAATACCAGAGAAGTTTTACGTCATGAATATTCAGAATTGTTTAAAAAAAGAGGTGTTGATTTCATTATTGCACCAACATATGTTGGAACTGCTTCAAAACCTTCATTAATTAAATACTGGGGTTATACTTCATTATGGAACATTTTGGATCAAACTTGTGTCACATTTCCATCAGGTGTTTTTGGTGATAAATCAATTGATAAGAAGGACACAAGTTATAAACCAAGAAATGAATATGAAGAATTTGAATATAATCTTTATGATGAAGATGATTCTGATGGTATGCCAGTTGGATTGACTCTAGTTGGTAAGCGTTATACAGAAGAAGAATCCTTAAAAGCTGCTAAAGTTATCTCTGATATCTTGAAAGTTTGAAATTTTCATGTATATATAGTATGCTGTTTGGATTTGATAAGAAATATGATATCTGGTATATTTTTCAAAACAATTTGTTCAAACATTGTAGACTATTTATTGCACACTGTCGAATATAGGACCAGAAGTTATCTGTATATGTATTTAAATCACTTATTAAGAAAATTCGAGCTCAATATTGCACAATTACTATATTGAAATAATTAAGGACAATTAATGTACCTTTGTTTGGGCAAACATTAATAGCTACAAGTAAAGCTCAAGAGAATCTAACATGTTGAAATAATTGACATAATTGACTATTGTTAAACCTGCTGTGTAACATATTCATTACGCTGAACACAATTTTTTACCTACAGATAACGCCAATAGCCCATACATTCGTCTCTATTCATGACTTGGACTAAATATAAAAATCACAGAAGCACTTTGCACATAACTCTTTTGTCAAGCAATATATCCAATCCTCTGGTTTTAATCTCAATACACTCTGGACTTGTTCCCCATGCTATTTGGAGAGCTGAAAGGACACTATGTACATGACGCCCGTGTATTACCTCTCCAATGTTCTTTAGTATCCTTACTATCAGATGTTTTTGTATATCATTAACACACACAGTGCCTGCTATAAAAGCTGGAAAAGTACCAATGCCATTCACTTTTGAATTTGGGGTTATCAATTTGAATTTTTCCAATATACTATTCAAATCTTTTTGTAGCTCACAATCATCAACTTTGATCTCCATTGAAATGAGTTTCCTCAGGATCAATTTTGCAGATTTTGCAACTATTTCAGACATCAAAACACTCTCTCTTAGATCTTTATATTTCCTGGATCCAACTCCAATATTTGAAGGTATCACTGGTGATGTATAGAAACATGCAATATCATACAGCTTCTTAGCAGTCTGAAACATCAAGGGATCATGTAATTTTTTGATCAAATAGGAAGCTTTTGAAACCAGTTCAAACGAGTCAAGGGAAGCACCAGAAACAGGATTGTTCATCCACGCAACATCACAATTGTACAATGGAGTTCTCAAAGCTTTTCTTAGATTATTAAAGACTTCAAAAGGGTTTGGGAGGTATTTGTGACTTTCTGAAAGCAAAATGGCAACTGAATAATTATATACGAAGCTCTCCAAGAACATTCTCTCAAAATTGGTATCAAAATCATGTAATCCATATTTGTCTAATTCACTATTCCTTATATCCATTAACAGATAATCAGACTCAAAGTCTTTAAGGTATGCATTCAAATATTCAGTTTCATGTGTAGTAGTAGATATATCTGAAAATATATCAGCCACATTTTGGTAATTAGATTCAAAGCTTATAAATCTTGATTTGATGATTTTGTAAGACTGTGATAAGTTCAAAACTGCACTCTTCGGAAATATGTTTGTAACTTTAGCACATAAGCACATCAATTGTAAAGCAGCACCCACCCAATTTGAAGAACAATCAGGCTGATCAGCCAACAAGTAGCTTCCTAAAGCATTCATGGCTATATGATACTTTTCTGTTGATAATGGTATCAATTCTGGGGATTCCCATGATAAAAATGAACAACCACAAGCCGAAGCAATCATGCGCATTATAGGATTCTTATCTATCCATGGAGTAACTGTAGCAGATGTTGTAAGTGATGGATGTGTATACTGGGGTCCAATAGCTTGAATGAAGCCATTAGCACAAGCAAATAGAAATTTTTGTTCAGGGTCATAGGTGAAGTGTGAAATAAAATCAACCTGAAAGCCTGTTCTATACTCTGGTCTGTTCTCTATATCCAAGGAATAGTTTGAGTCCGGGGATTCCTCTAAATCTTCAAAAAGGGCTCTGGTTTCATTCTCATCGAATATTGGGTAAATTGTACCAGACTTTTCTCCCTTTCCTGAAAGATAACTCTGTTCACCTTTAGTCAAAGGATAATCATTTTCATTTTCAGAAAGCTTCACCTCTGATACAAATTTTGAATGCTTATGACTTTTTGGAATTTGAAAATTAGATGGAAGTTTATCTTTTGAATCCTTTGGCCAGATACATTCCAGATCTTTACTTGAACATGTTGAGCAAATTGGTTTTTTCTCATCACACTTTTTTTTTCTTTTCCGACCTAATGTGTTATCGTTAGTTTGTTATCAAAGGTGATGTTCATTATATAGATATACTCACAATTGAAGCATCCGTTTCTGGAGCGGTTAACAATAGGCTTCTTTTTTGAAGAATAAGCACCTAGAGATTCAAATTTGATTAGATGTTCATGAGGATTAAGCTTCATTTTTGTAGTATTAATTCCAACTGATGGAGGCGATTGTATCAAACAAAACCTTGAAGACCTTCAATCACGTTGCAAAATTGAAGCTAATTGATTTTTAATTGCCCTTCGCCACCTGAAGTATAGAAAACTTTTTGAGTTTAAAATATAATCTAATCCAGTATTTAACGACACTCTATATCAATACTTCTGATAAGACATATTGCATGACTGGATTCTCAAATAAGAATAGCTAAGGGAGTTTGTTATCACACCATCACACCTTATAACTAGTTACAGTTCCAATTCAACGCAACGGAAGAACATTAATAATCAAAATGCTTCTCAGTCAACCATCCAAATAATTAACATTATCAGCAATACCAGTTTAGTTGATTGTGCTTTAGCGACACCTTTAATGGAAACTGGAGAGATAAATCAATTGAAAGCTGAGATTGGAAATAGCCGTATTTCTCAATTCTCAATTAGGATGTTTTTCTTTATAGGCGCCACCGGAATTCAGAAATCTCCATGATATAAATTCAACTGAGGTTAAGATGGTCGTCTTCAATGTTACGAATTGACTTATCAAGCGTCTAATCAGTTGTGGTTAATCTGTCAAGGAAATGTTCAATTATTTATAAGGCATGATGTTTGCTGCTTAAAACGACTTGAACTGTCGTGAAATTCCACTAATAACATTTGATTATTGCATTAATAACATCACAATGCCAGCCAAAATTTTTTCAGTTGACCACTCCAAAGAACCATTACTCACTTCACTTTCTGCTTATAAAGGTGACAAAGCTCGCTATGAGAAAGAATGGGTCCCAAAAATCAAGGCTTATAACAAGAAACTAAATGATGCAATTCCAAAAGAATACTTAGCTCCTGAAAGTTTAGTGCCTGCGGATTTAGACAACGCTGCTTTCAATGCAACTACTGTTCCTGAAAAGGTTCTTGATGATCAAAGTATCAAGATTACAAACTTGACTGCTACAGAAATTGCTACTAAGGTTGCTAAACGTGAACTAACCTCTTTAGAGGTGATCACTGCTTTCATCAAACGTGCCACTATAGCTCATCAATTGACACATTGTGCTATGGAAATCTTATTTGATGATGGTATTGAAAGGGCCAAGTACTTGGATGATTACATCGAAAAGAATGGCAGAACAGTTGGTCCATTACATGGTGTTCCAGTATCATTGAAAGAACATTATGATTTCAAAGACCATGTCACTCATGCAGGTTTTGTTGGTTCTTTGGATAGAGTAGCAACAGAATTTTCAGTTACAAATCAGATTTTGTATGATCAAGGTGCTGTGTTTTATATTAGAACTACTGAACCACAATCCTTGATGCACTTGGATAGTATCAACAATATTACTGGTAGGGGAAGAAATGCATATAATATATCATTAAGTCCTGGTGGTTCAACATCTGGTGAAGCTCCCTTAATTGCTTTGAAAGGTTCACCATTAGGGGTTGGTTCTGATATTGGTGGATCAATTCGTGGTCCTGCTGCGTTTAATAACATTTGGGGTCTTAAACCAAGTACTAAGAGATTATCGCTAGTTGGCTGTTATTCTGCCAGTTACCATACATTCCAAGAATCTATTGGAGCTGTCTTGGGTCCTATGAGTAATTCTGTTGAAGATTTAGAATTATTCATGAAGTCATATTTAGGTGCCAATCCATGGGAGAAAGATCAATATTGTATTCCAATTCCTTGGAGAGAAGTTTCAGCCCCAAAAGCTCATGACTTGACCATTGGTATTGTCTATGATGATGGTGTTGTTAAACCACACCCTCCAGTTTTACGTGCGTTGAAAGAGGTTGAGAATAAGCTAAAAGCTTCTGGTGTTAATGTTGTTACATGGGATTCCCATAGAGTTTATGAAGCTTGTGAAGTAGTCAATGCTCTGTATACTGCGGATGGTAATTATGCAGCCATTGGTTTCTTAGATGAATCTGGTGAGCCATTAGCTCCATTAAGTGAACACTTTTTAAGAGCTGGTAAAGGGGACAGGGGATTGACTGTTATTGAGAACCAATACTACAACTATACAAGAGAAATTCTACGTCATGAATATTCAGAATTGTTCAAGAAAAGAGGTGTTGATTACATTATAGCACCAACTTATGTTGGAACTGCTCCAAGACCTTCATTGGTTAAATATTGGGGCTACACTTCATTATGGAACATTTTGGATCAAACTTGTGTTACGTTCCCATCAGGTGTTTTTGGTGATAAATCAATTGATAAGAAGGATTTAAGTTATAAACCAAGAAATAAATATGAAGAATTTGAATATAATCTTTATGATGAAGATGATTCTGATGGTATGCCAGTTGGATTGACTTTAGTTGGTAAGCGTTATACAGAAGAAGAATCATTGAAGGCTGCCAAAGTTATCTCTGATATCTTGAAAGTTTGAAGTTTATATGTTTTTTGTTTAGTTTTGTTTTGCTAAGGAATATCATATCTGGTATATATTTATGAATGATTTGTAGAAAACCTCTATAGTATTCTTCACTATGCATCGTTAAATCTCGGACCAGAAACTTTCAGATAGATTTATATATTTCAATACCTAAATTTATAATCCAAGATCGTTAGTAAGAACTATGTAGTAATAGGAGAAGAGGCAGGAATATCTCTGCTCATATAATACAACGGGTAGCAGCTACAAATAAAGTATACAAAAATCACGTATATAAATAATTTATCATTGCTAAATACCAGCTTCAACAGATCTCTTATGCTCAACAATCTTCCAATATTGAGCTTTAGTCTTATTTCTCCAGTAAGGACCACTTGCTCTTATGACCAAAAATGTTGCATTACAGAACAAAGTTAAACATGCAGCTGAAATAAAAGAATTTTTATAACCCATATTCAAGACCCAGTCTGTAAGACCATAACTGCATGCAAATGACATCAAGTTTCTAATTAAAATCACAACAACCATAGCTTCAGTATCCATTTCATGATAACAATCAGAACAATAAGTAACAGCAGCTGTACACCCAAAGACTGTCAATCCACCCATTAGCCCCATTGAAATGACCAATACAATCCAGTGAACTTCGTAATGTGCACCGACACCCCAGCCAATACACGCTAAGAATCCTAAGACCATATAAACAACCAAAATCCATAGTCTATCTTCAGGTAATGAGGTTCCTCCTCTTCTTTTTGCCAAAGAAACTTTCAAGTAATCTGACATATAACCAGCCATTAAGAACACAACAACACAGCATATGTTTGGTGAAATATAAGCTAAACCACACATAGCAGCTGAGAAATTATATGGTGCTCCACTTAAAACTGTTGACTCAGTGGCATTTAATAAGTTGAAAAATACTAGCGATGAACCATAAAGGAAACCAGCCCATAGAACGGAAGGAAACCTAGCCATTTTGAAAGGACCAAGTAAATAGTGTGGTAATAAAAACTTATCCTTGAAACCACCAGTCAAGGAAATCTTATCCTTGAAAGTCTTTCTTGGTTTTGGTTGAAATAAAATATTAGAAGAAGGAACTTCAACAGTATGATGATTTTTTGTATTGGTACCCTTGTATTCTCTTTGTGCTGGTTTCTCACCATCAGCTAAATTATCTTCAGCTAGACTTTCAGGATCAGATCCTATACCTTCCAAGACAGTCATACCTGAGTCAATTTGTGAATAATCACGTTTGAAATTAGTCTCCTCCATGAAGAAATAAAGAAAAACCAAACAAACAGCAGAAAAAATAGAGCATAACCACATCACCCATTTCCATCCCATACCGTCACTAACAAAACCAGCAAGCATTGGTGCCATAAAGTTTGATGTGATTAAAGCTAATGCATAAATACCCATACCTCTAGCTCTTTCATGCTCAAAGAATAAGTCAGACATTGTAATTTCACACAAAGATTCAATAGGCGAACCAAAGAACCCTTGAAGAATTTTACCACCAATCCATTCACCATTTGATTTAGAGTAAGGTGCCCAAACACAAATTAAACATGTAGCAAATAAACTGAAAAGATAAACCGGTCTTTTACCATATTGTAAGGCAATTGGTTGGAAAATCACACATCCTAAACCGAAAAACAAGAACATATAACCAGTACCAGCATTCAACTCACCTAATGTGATATCAGTCTCTTTAGCAATATTTGTCAACACTGAATAAATAGCTGCAGATGGGATACCAACACCATAAGTATAAACAACGTTACAGAAAACAGCTAGCCACTTTCTTCTTGGTGACCAGTTCAATGGATCATCATAATCGTCAGATGGTGTTGGAATCAAAACAATTTTTGAATCACCACTTGAATGGTGTGCATTCATTTTACCTTCAAGATCCACCAAATGGGTGGTACCAGGGACAGCATTATAGTTAATTTCCTCAATCATTGTGTCTTGTACAACGTTTATAGCCCGTTAAATAACTAAATCTTCTATGTTATTCTGGGTTGTACCATTCTTATATACTTATCACCAGGTAATATAATCAGCGTAAAATAGATAACTAGCATCACCATCACCACTCAACACCATCACCACTCAACACCGCAGCATATGTGCCAATCCATGAAATCTATAAGGTTATTACCCAAAATGTCGACGGCTAATTTGTTATCAGTTATCTACCCAGAAGGGGCAGCATATGTATATCACTTATTGAATTCCGAGGACCCAGTCAACATGGTAATTTGATATACTATCAGCAGAATCTAGATATCATTCTGTCTTTGTCAGGTTGATAACAGCACGAAGATCTTTACTTGGCTTGATAAGAAAGTTTGATTAAATAGTGAACAAAGTTCAGAGCCTGATTGTCGAATCATTGAGTCAAAAATTAAAATCAAAATCTGGAAAGAAAATTCAGAGCACATTCGCGATTTCGCGACTGATGCCTGGTTCCGATCCGAGTTTTGGAATACCTTTTTCCATAATTATGTGACAAAACATTCTAGATAAACATGTGAAGCAACATCAGATCTGCGTCATACAAAAAAACGACAATGTCAACCAAAGAGCTCCCTAAACCACCGTATACCGCTACAAACAAGCCAACTGAAGAGTACATTTCATACAATGGTGCTCGTTTCTACACAGAGTTTTGGGTATGTATCAAAACCCGAAGTAGACTGTCTAATATACTAACGAACTTTTTGAATTAGAACATCCCAGAAAATGTTTCATTGAAAGGTAGAATTGTATGGCTACATGGGTTCTCAGAATACTCAAAGGTTTATGTTAGAATCTTTGATCAATTGAGTCAAGAAGGTTATGAAATCTTTTTCTTTGACCAAAGAGGTGCAGGATTTACATCACCAGGTAAATTAAAAGGTTTAACTGATGAATTCCATACATTTGATGATTTAGATTATTTCTTAAAGAAAAACATTGATGAAATTGCTAATCGTGATAATAAAAGATTGTATTTAATGGGTCACTCTATGGGTGGTGGTATTTCATTAAACTATGGTGTTAAAGGTAAATACAAAGATCATTTATCAGGTATAGCTGTCACAGGTCCTCTTATTTTGTTACATGTGAGTTTAAAATTTGTATTTTCATGATACTTCTAAGCTTTTACTAACAGTTTACATAGCCAAGTACAAGACCTGGTAAAATCTTATATACTGCTTCATATTTAGCTATGAAAATCTTACCAAATCATATTATGGATACACAATTGAACAAGGATTTCATGACAAGTGATCCAGAATGGAGTGAATATTTATTACATGAACCTGTTATTCCATTATTAGGGTCTTTGAAACAAATTTATGACTTCTTGAAAAGGTATGTTCAAACTGTACATTTCGGAAAATATATAAAGTACTAACTATGAGATAAAGGGGTGAAAAATTATTAGAACCAAAATATTCAAAAAATTTTTCAGTACCAGTTTTAATTTTACATGGTGATGACGATAGTATCAATGATTTCCATGCTTCAAAAAAATTCATTGACATGATACCATTCGAAGATAAAAAATTTGTACCAGTTAAAGGATCACGTCATTCTATTGCATTAGAGAAACAAGATATTTATGATGGTGCTAAAGCTGAATTATTGGAGTGGTTATCAAAACATTGATTTCTGTTACTAGAGGTCTCCCTGTTTTTGCTTCAATGAGTGACAAAACTCCAGAGTTTGTTAGTGATTGGACCTAGTTTAATTATTAACAAACATAACAGTGCTTCAAGCCAACAGCCTTTGATGATTAAAGTGTTTGCTTTCCATTTTTATTTGATCCAAGAGAATTGAACTTACTTTCCAAAAATGCATAAGAATTACTAATATATATGCATTTCTAATTAGTCGACATGTAGCCAGCTTAATAATTATATCACCATGAGATCACGTATGTCCAACCCATCGAGAGACATCCCCTGTATATACACCATGTATAGGATCCATTGGCTAGATTTCTAACTCAACATTGACAAGGATCTTCAGGTACTTTTGAGCAACAATATTTATACTGCACGGATATGAGCTTATAATATGCTCAGCTTCTTAAAAATTTTCATTTAGCCGGATCGATCTAGATCTTAACACTAATATAATTATAACACCACATATATTCTGACATAAATGCACTTCTAAAGGCAGTAATCCAGCTGAAAGATATGATTGATAACCCATGAAATCGAATATTTGTTTTGCAAGGACTACAGAAGGTTGAATAACTGACTTATAGGCTCAAATTGGTGAGGATTCAACCAGGATACATTCCATTGATCTTTAGCTTAAAAAATTGCATATAGTACCACTTTACATTTACAATATGGGCATGAAAGTTCCATGTTTCAAACGCATATGATGTTTATATTAATGCTGTCTAAGATCTGATTGCAAATACGAATGTATATCGCTTTATAAGCTGTTGATTGAGTTGCAAGTTGCAAAAGTCAATATTCTAAGGTCAATCATATATCATATATCTATAAAATTTAGTTAAATGCATTAGGAGTCAAAACAACCTTAGGTGCTTGATTAGCTAGCAAGACGAGCCACAAGATAATAATGCAGCAAGTACGGGCGCCAATTCAAAAAGTTGTTCTCTGTTACATATATGTTATATGTTCCATGGCCATGTAATGTTTCGACGTTAAATATTACCACGTTTTCATAGCGGAAATTAACAAACAAGTATAGCGAGAAGTTAACTAGAGTAAAGATTATAAAAACCTGTATACTATATGTTTAATTAACTCAGTACTTCCTGACGTATTGTCCTGATCCAGCTCTTGACAGAACTAACTAATTAACTAGCATAGAGATAAGTTCTAGCGCAATAGTAAACTAATTATGAGTTATATTAAGGAACATTTTAGTCGTAAAATATAAGCTTAATATTTCGGCCTAGCTGCCTAGGACCCTGGGCTAACGTGCCAAAGCAGGTTTATGCGCGATCAACGTCAACTGCGTCAAGAGGTCAGACCTCTAGTCCTCTAGTGCAAAAAAGAGACTAATTTAGACTAATCTCTACATATTAGTCTCGAGTCTTGAGCTGTACCTCTCTAGTCGCCCGTTAAACTCAATATTAAAACGTTTTAGGCCCGGACACACTTGACACACTTAACGGTTAATTTATTAATTTTGAAGCATGTATTTCCTTGTCAAAAATGATACACACGATACCAAAAATCTTTTAAATGTATCAAGTGATTACAAACTTCATTGTTTCCACGTTATTGGACTGATATCACAAGATCTGTTTAACCATCAATAACAGTGATTATCCTTAGCTATTCTAAACAGGGAAAATCTGAAACTAGATGTCGACTATCAGTTCTGGAAATACACTGGTCACAAAGAATATCAAAATGTCCATTCCTTATCAAATCAAAGATGGGAAACAACCAAGAATAATTGAATTGACAACAGCAGAATCAAGTTACTCTGGTGAAGTCTGGGTGAGTTTAATGTATTTATATAACTGAGATCATGAAAGATAATTGAGCATAGAACCTGTATCACTAACTAACATTGATTAAAGCCCATTGATAATGACCAAAAATATAAAGGTAGAGTTCTCCTACTTCCAAATCCAGGTGAAGATGTGAAGCTGTATCATAAACTTATTGATTTATTAGGTTCAACTGGGTACGAAACATTATTTGTACCTACAAAAGAAGTTTACAAAACAGATACAGATATCTATAGAGAGATTAATAGAATATTGGAACTTTGTATTTCAGATCTTGATTCACAATCCTATGTTACAACTCATAAACTTCATATCATTGGTCAATTCATAATAGCTTCAAGAGTAATAGCATACGGTGTTAAAGGTCATTATAAACATAGAATTAAAAGTGTCATTGCAATTAATCCATTTCTAAGTCCAAAAAAATCATTTGATAATTTAACATCACAAACTACAACTTCAATCCTCAGTAAAATTTCATCAACAAATACATCAAAATTCCCACTCAAATATGAACATTTAACAAGTGATAAACATTGGCTAGATTATTTAAAAGAACATGATTATAATTTTTCAAAGATACGGTCTAATTATTTGAAAGAAATTTTACACATTTCTCATGTCTTACAATTACCTAAAAAATATGCTGATTTTAGTATTAAGAATGTTTTATTAATTCAATCAGAACAAGATCCAGTTTCTAAGCTTATTGGTCTTCAAAATTTTTATAATAATTGTCCCAGTGAAAATATCAACATTTTGGTATATCCAGAGGGGAAAAATAACTTGATTATAGAAACTGATGACATTTTCAAACAATTGAGTTGTGATATTATCAGTTGGTTAGCTCATAATTGAAACAAATTATATTTGATCAAGTAAACTTTCTAGTGATAATTTTTGTGCTTCCCATCCTAATATAGAATTATTTAAACCTTTGATACCATTAATTTTAATCAATCTTCTTGTGACTTTGAAACTGAATATATTTCTGGATTTTAAGATTCTATCAAAAGCTTTATAGATTTGTTGTGATTTTATATAAACTTCTTCAATTTCATGCATACCCAAGAAATTAAAAATTTCGGATTTTGTTGTAAATGTAATTTTTAGTAGTTGAGTTTCATCAAATGGTTGATCTGAATTATTAGAATCCACAATGATAATGCTTAAAGGTTGTAAAATTGGTGGTTTATTCATATCATATTTTACACAAAGTTGATTCAGTAACGGTTCGAATTCCACTATTGCACCTTTAACTTCATAAACTTTACCATCTATTTGATCAATTTTATTCAAGTTTTTAATGATTCCAATATTTCTTTCATCAAATGTTGCTTGTACTTGAGTATGTGGACTTTGATTAGTTTCATAATCTCTATTGTGTGTAGAATCTGAAGGTAAATCTGCTGCTGATGATAATTTAAATGAACGACTCGGTGTGTTTTCCACAAATGAACTATCTGGTGTATTTGTTTCTGAATAGCCAAAATTTTGTCTTGTTGATGTCACTGGCGATGATTCAAGATTCGTCTGATGATTCATTACACCTTGGGATGTTTGTGTTCTCCGTATTTGGGATTGTTGTTGAGGTTGTGTATAATGTACTTGAGGTTGTTGATAGGTTTGACGTTGTGAGATATGTGGTTGAGGTTGAGTAGCAAATTGTCTATCTATGCCAATAACCAGAGGTGCTGAAGGGTCAAGTAATTTATTTTGTATTTGTTGTTCAGAGAATGTATGTTTGAAGTGTTCCTTATTCTCTAGTATATAATCAATTGGTATATTTGTGAACACATTATCATAAAGTGGTAATGAATAATCAATATTATTTCTAATACTCAACAGATCAATTTGACTAGGAATAGCATCCAGAACACCATTATAAGATTTTATTTTGGCCTTGACTGTACAGAAAATGGCTTTAGGTAAGACATTAACAGCTAAACTTCCCACTGGTAATGGTTCTCCTCTTAAAAGACCATAACGTTTAGCAAAAGGATCAAATTTCTCCTTGTATATGTTCAACAGTAATATCTGATCATTTGGAATCCTATCAGAATAGTCTTGGATCCAATTTTCATTCACAAAACTTTGTTCCATGTGTCTATTTCGAGTAAAATCAGTAACAAAGATTCTATTAGGGTTACCTAATTTAACCGATACAATCATACACGAGAATTGAACATAGTATGGTTTTGAAGTGGTTGGTGGCAAGTCTGAAAGTTTGTTGATTGTTTTGAATCCAAGGCTTGTCATTATCAAAAAGAGTTGAGCAGTGGGGATCCCTCAATAAGAACTGACCATAGAAAGTTGAAAGTTGAAAGTTGAAAGTGTTGTTTATATTATGGAAAAAAAAGTTGGTGATGTAGTGTTCCAACCACGCGACGCGTCTTTTTGAGAATACACCAAAAATGTATAAACAAAACCATCATCAATTGAATGTCCAACGAGTTCATAGTTCAGACAATCAAGATGGTGCTCCATGATGTTAGAGATCTGAAGGATATAAAGAAGATACGGCTGACCAGACCGTATCAAACAGAAAAGGTGCTGGTAAGGTTGACAATGCTTGTGAATGCTGTTAAGTATGGTGATCAACCATCATTAGATCTTACGGATTACACTCAAGGATATTCTGAAAGCAAAATTTTGAATTTCACTGTTAAAACTGGGTCTTTAGCATCTCAGCATTTTAAAGAGCTTAAAAAGGCATATCCAATTGTGGATAATAGTACTGGAAAAGTATTAAAAGGCACTAAAGATAAAGTTCAATTTTATGACAATGGGTATCATGTTTTCCTTAATGTTGTCGCTGAAGCCTATAATGGTCTCACAGAGTTACAGTTGAAAGTCACGGAGTTTAAGATTATAAATAAACAGCCTGCCATGATACTTAAGATGAGTTTAAATCAGCAAGCTAAACTTACTTCATTAGTGAAACTATTAGAGAAAAGAAGAGAGGATAATCTTATTACGACACCAAAAAATGAAGAAGAAATTAAAAAAATCATTGCAGTGATACGAAAGGATGATAAACCAGAAGAACACCAATCTAAAAGACAAAAACCAAATGAAGAAGAAGAAAAAGAAGCAGAAAAGGAAGAAGCACCAACTCAACAGTCATCTGATGGTACAATATTCCCAACAAATCCTCTTTTCAATCCACTTCCAGAGGAGCAACAAGATGAAGTTCCACTCACACAAATGCAAAATGAAATATTTCAAGGATCTGATGATTTTGATCAATTAAAATCAGATAATAATATTCAAAGTAGTCAAAATCATGATTCATCAAATGAAGGTAATCTAAGAGTATCAAATGATCAACCGCAACAAATACTACCTAAGATTGAGGAAGAAGAAACTGATAATGAGATTCAAGTGAAACGTGAACCAATTCTAAATAATAGAATCAAATTGGAAGATTCTAATGTATCCTTATCACAACAATTAAGAGATAATAATGTTGAAGTTATCACAGTTTTGAATGATAGTGGTGATGATGATAGTGATAGCGACAGTGATATTGAGAATGTAAATGGAAAGGATAGAACCGATCATGCGAGTACTGTTACTAAAGATGTTCAAACTTCATTAACACCAACTGTTCAAGACAATGTTCAATCACAATCAGATTTAAGCAAAACTATAGAAATTGCAAAAGATAATCAAGATAATAATAACCCTGAACAAACTCCTAATAATAATGAGAATGGAGAAGAACAACCGCAACAATTCAATGAATCTGATGAAGTGAATTATGCCAAGTCACAAGATGGTATTGCATCAATTATGAGTAGATCAATTGAATTAGGTGTACCATATTCATTCACCGGGTTTATAATTGGTATTGAACCATTAAATTTTAAAGTATTAGCAAAATCATTTAATGATTTAATTAAAATTACAAATTTTAAACTATACATATCAAATATTCCATATTTAAATTCAAATATTTTCCAAATTAATAAAAATGTTATATGTTTAGAATTTAGAACTAAAGAGCAAATTCTTTCATTTTTTGGTTATGATGATATTGAATTGGCATTTTTAGAACAAGATAAAATTCAAGCAAAATTAATAAAATTATTAGAAACTAGACATAGATTAGAAATTGATATTTTAAGGAAAGTGATTAATTTAAGCGTGGGTAAACAATATATTTGGGAAACTAATAGCTCCATAAGCAATATATTAGGAGAAGAGGAATAAATAAGTGGCATTGATATACTGTATTTTATAGTTCCATAACTTATCTTTCATAAAATATCATATAGTCGAAGTAGTTGTTATATTATAATCAAAGCCGCTTATTACCGAAAGTGTGTCTTTATCGAAAATCAAAAAATTTATGCCGCGAATTCATAATTATATATACGTACTAATTTGCAGTGAAGTTGAACTCCGTAATCATATAGCTGTCAACTAGATCAAATCATTAGATCACATCACAATGCCGCCTAAGAGTATGTTTTGGTACTTATAAAGCTGAATAATTATCAACGACTAACGCTCGCAAAACATAGAAACACCAAAGATTCCCAAATTTCCTAAAAAATTATTATCCAAACAAACAACAACAAATAGCATACCAACAATTTTAAACACAGCACAAGATTATTTAGATCAAGGTGTTGAAGAAGAAGAATCAGGCGATAGATGGATAATATCTGATTTATCTAAATCTCTTAGATTTTATCAAAAAGCATATGATTATTATATTGAAGCTATAAATAAAAATGATGGATTAGTTGATGCTTATTATAATGCTGATAGATTATTATTTCATATTTGGGAAGTGTATCATTCTATTCCTTTGATAATTTTGAATAATGTTGATGGTTGTGATGTTGTTAATTATCCTCTTAGGGAGATTAAAGAAAAACATGAATTTGTTATAAAGAAATTCCCACAAATTACATGGGAATTGAAATTTAATTTAATTTTGATAAATCTTGAAATTATTGAAGAATTTAATGAAAATTTTAAGTATGAAGATTTATTAAAGATTTGTGATGATTGTGTTGGGATTTTAGAAGGGGTTTTGGATTATCAATTGAAAGAATTAGATTTATTTTTGAAAAAATTGGAGAATCCATTTGAAGATCAAGGAGATCAAGATGAACAAGGAGGAGAACAAGATGATGATGATTATGAAGTTATGGAACAAATCACACCAAGTAGTGTGCTGGAAACTGTATTAACCAGTTATAAATTAATTGAAACAAGTTTGGGGAATTGTGAAAATCAAATCCAAATAAATTTATTAAATGAAAATTTTAAATCATTTCAAATCAAATTGAGTGAAATTTTGGAATTATTATTTGGAAAATTCAATCCTGATTTAAATCCTGAAAATAAATATCAATTAAATTTTATTCAACAAGAAATTCAAGATATTAAACTAGTTATTCATACTAATGAAGGATTTCTAATTAATGATTATGAATCATTATTAACCCATTGGTCAAATTCTGAAAGGTTAAAAGGATTAGAACAAAATTCATCAAGATATTTAGCTGAAGCTGATAGTTTCCAAAATTTTAAAGGATTATTATCATCTTCACCTGAAGGATTAAATAGTGAATTACATTGGATTATAATAAATCAAATAAATTTAAATTTGAAAAAATCTCAAGAATTAATTAAATTAGAAATGGATACTGAGATTTTGAATAAAACTGCAGAAGTATCTTCCAAGAACTCCAAGATTATTGAAGTATTAATCCTTAGAGCTGATAATGAATTAATAAGAAGTTCATTTAAAGATTTAGAATCATCAATCAAAAACCATGATATCTTGGTGCAAAATGCAATAAATTTATTAAAAAATGGATTAAATTTAAGTAATGCAAATTGTGGATTAAGAGAAACTATAATTGATAAATTTAAAAAAGAAAAATTGAAAAAAGAATGTGTGTTAAGATTATTATTATTAACTAGAGATTCAATAACACAAGATGATCTTATTAGAAATATAGGTATTAATTATTATTCAAAAGAAGTTGAAGATTTACAAAATGTTGAGATTTATAAACCTTTATTTTCAAAAGTTGTATAAATTGGAAGGAGGTGTATATATAACATTCCATTGTATATATGAATTTTGAGTTCTTATATTCAAATGTTATGTACTTTTTGATGTGTCAAAATTTGGGTGTACCTTATATATGGGATCTATAAAGATCCAAGGTGTATAAGACACAAAGTATAAAGATCAGACCTAGAACAAGGGTTTATTAGCTCATCTAGATCTTCATATCTTCAAAAGTTACAAGTTATAATCAGCTGGTATTACTGATCATCATAATCTTAATCCTGTTGTCTAATGATGCTCAATAATCACGATATTTCTAATCCGAATTAACCATAAAAAGTATTCCATATAGAACATAGAACAAAAAATGTATGGAACCTCATTTAAAGATCGGTTATGTTCAAACGGTAAAACTACATCTAGTTCCATGGATTCCTATGGATTACAATTTACTATGGTATTCTATGATTTATATTGTCATGTTATCTGGTTTGTAGTGGCACACGCGTCCGTCCAAGCCGGAGTTCGTTTATGATTGGTTAAAGCTTGCAATTAGTTTACTGTTTTAGGGGAAGTGATCACTGATACGCGATAAAGTTTAGACTGAGAAATGATTTGATGGGAGGGAAGTAAGAGGAAGCAGATGAATGGGATAGGAAGAGTAGGATCATCATTCACTATCTTTGTGTATTTGTTGACTATCTATCTTTATGGTTGTCAGTGGTCACTGCCCATGAGATCTAGATCATGTTCATTTCTAAACTTGTCTGCCCAGTATCTCTGCCTAGTATGATCTGCCTCTCTGCCTGTCTGTGGAGATCTTCCCTGTCTGTCCGCCCCTGTCTCTGCCTGTCTCCCTGTGCCCTCACCGCCTATGATCTAATGATGATCAAATTTCAAAGCATTCAATCAATTTTAAATTTGCTATGAAAGTTGAAATGAAAAGCAACTCGAAGTGCTAAATTTAATTTAAATTTATTTCCATTTAAGCTTGTTTATTTAACCATTTACAAAACATTCAACAACTTCAACAACTTTCATCAACACTACAAGTTCACTTTATCAACTGTTGATGCAACAATAATAAACGCCGAGGTGATAGATTCCCCCTATTTGAAATTATCAGTGCCAAATATAAAACAACTTTGATTGAAATATGGACATCCATTACAACAATATCAACTTGAAACCAAAGATTAAGAAGATTACAAGTTCAAGTTCAAGTTCAAACTCTTCTCAAACTCCCTTGTCAAATAACTCATCTTCAACTTCTCTTTCCCTTCTATCGTCTCGTTCTTCAAGATCGACTTTAGATCCTGTCACTTCTTCATCTCCACATTCGCAATATTTAAAATATCAAACTTCACCACTTTGCACAATGAGTTCAACAGAATATCAAAAAAAACACCAGAAAAGTTCAAATTCAAGTCAAACAAGTCTCAAATCAAATAAACAACATCAACAGCAACAACAGCAACAAGAATCCATGGATTATCTTGAATATATGGAAAAACAACCATGTTATCCACCAACTTATTCAGCGGCTAATGCTTCAAAATCTATACGTTTCCCCATATATGAACAAGAAGAAACTCATATTTTACCAGATTATTCTCCTTCAATTTATCAAATTTCATTAGGCTTGAAAAAAATTGAATGGTTATCACCTTATGAACCTTCTCCAATAAGAAATTGGAAAAATGTTATAATGGAATTAAATTCAACTCAATTAAATTTTTACTCAATTGATCATCAAAATATACCCTTATTGAATCGTGTTAAGAAATCTAAAACCAAAAAGATCTATGAATTTACTCCTATAGAATCTGAATTTATCTTGAATACAATAAAGCAAAATCCAATGGAATATTTAACTTCAAAAAAATTAATTAAATCTTATTCTTTACAATTTGCTAAATTTGGATTACCAGTTGATTATAAGAAAAAAAACAATTGTCTTAGAATTCGTGCAGAAACTGAACAATTTTTAATTCATTTCCATACTATTGATGAAATGATTAATTGGTCAAATTATTTATCAACTGGTATTAATGTCAGTTTAGATCTTGAATCAAGAAAATTACCAAATGATAGAACCGTTCCAAGAAGAAGACGTAATAGAAGAGGTTCAAGTTCAAATAGAAATAGAAGTTATTCTGATTCGGAATTGATTAGAAGAGAATTAAGTACTTCTTCAGCAAATAAAAGAAGATCAAGTTTTAGTGGTGGTCCTGAATCTTCAATAAAAGGTAAAATTTCAAGATTATTTAATAGAAAAAGATCTGATGTTTCTTTAAATGATATTGAAGAATTAGCATTAAAATTTCAACAACAAACAACAGTTGATGATACCCCTTCATCACGTCCTTCTTCAACACCATTATCAAATCAACTTGAAGATGAATTAGTTGAAGAAGCTGAAGCTGAAGAAGCTGAATCTATAAGAAATGAAATCTCTACAATTCAAGAAGAAGAAGAAGAAAATGATGAACAAGAACCAAATTCAATCCATGAATTACATGATGATTCTGATGATGATGATGAATTAGAAGAACCTTCAAATAATGATTTATTTAATAATTTCCATTTAAATTTTGGTTCTTCTTCATCTTCTTCAGATGATGATGATACAAAACAATGGTTACCAGAACATAAATTAATAACAAGAAGAAAATATCTTAAAGATTCAATTCGTTGTATAAAATTATTACCAGGTGATGAAGAATGGGTTGGGAAATTCATTGTTAGATCATCAAATCCACCAAGATATAAAACTATTAATCAATTAAATTCTAAAAATTCTAAAAATAAATTTGTTAAAGAATTCATTGTTGGCCCCCAAGGTTTAGTTTCTGTTGTTAACTAAATTTTCATCATTTATATCAAGCTTCAATTCAATATTCAATTTTCAATTCATTAACGTTTACGAAATTATGATTTTATATGATCTTATAAGCATTTAAAATTCATCATCATATCATACCCCATGCTCTCATGCTCTCATGCTCTCATGCTACATTCCATCATATGCTCTCTATTCATTCTCCATTTGTCACATTTTTATAAGTTCAATCATATCCTAGGTGTTTCCATATTTTGATTTTTAATTCATCATTTCTTTTCAATCATTCTTCTTATCATTTTGATTCTTTATATTTTTCATAAAGATCTGTTTCACTATGTGTTTTATTAAGGTTTTTTTTATTAAACAGTTTACATCAACAGCTAGTTAATTGTTGATTTGGGTTTCATGTTTTATTTAAAGTTTAATTGTGATTATTACTATATACATACATTTCTTCTTTATAAAATGATTATATGTAGTAACTAAACTTTATCCTAATTATAAATAGCTTGATCTAAGGAATAAACCCTATACAATTTATCTAAAATCTAGCGCGAGTCGGTATACCCAACATTTACCCTACACCCTAAACCCAAAACCTATATAAATAAAAATATTTTAATCTTTCGACACTTTCTTTGTTAGCCTTTTTCCCTTTCTTTAACATCAATCGCATATTTCATCTTTCAATTAAAGGTATGATTTTAATAATAATTTGTTTTTTAAAATCATATCGAAAGAATTCAATGGAATAAAAGCGTAGATTAAAGAACGTTACTGGGCGCCCGATGTTGAATCCTAACTCTTGAGATATTGGGAATCAGTTGTTTCGACATTCTTTTTGGTTATTTTGTATATTAAGTCAATCAGTTGAGGTTTATTAAGAACTTGTACTGGATTGATTAATAGATGACGTTATGATTATCAATTAAAGATGTAGTTAGACTTGATGTCTTTACTCGATCATGATTTCTCGCGTTGGAAAATTTTTTCAATTTCACTACATAGTTTTCAATCAACATTCAAGAATCAATCACATAGAAAACACGTATATATAAGAAAAACTATTGCTTTTGAAAAGCCATTGAAGTATGAACACTAGACAACTTACAAGTCTTTTAATTGGTGCGATTAAATATATGATTTAAATTATATATCTACAGTTTTCCTAATTGCTATACAGTGAAAGGACCTTTGCCAAGATCTGATTTTTATGACAAAATTTGATGTCTGTTGACTTTTGATCTTATGAGCTTGAGCCTATATAGGATCGATAATCAATAAGAGTACGTGGCTTCAATCAGTTGGTAAGTCAAGTATTTAAAAGATCTATTGATCTGATTGTTTATTTGTACACTTTTATACTAAAGAAAGTCTATGTACTGAAAAACAAAAACAAAACAAATTGTAATTTTAAAATCGTCATTGTTATATAAATGAATGATTGATGATTAAATGAAATGAATTAATGAAGGGTATGATTGTTTAATTTGATTATAATGCATTTTTTCTTGTTAAATAATCAAATCTTGAATATGTATAACCAATAAATGGTAAATCTTCTTTACTATCACCTGATGAATTTGGAACATTATTTTGTTCTCTTTGTCTTTCAGCTTTAATTAATGCTGGATTCTCTGGTACATTTTCTAATTCATCAGTTGGGAAAAATCTTGTATCTGTAATACTTTTCAATTTTGGAATAAATGGTGCATCAACATTTCTTATAGTATCCCAATCAACACCTCTGAAAAATGGATGACTTTTAATTTCTGCAGCTCCTCCATGTCTACCTAATCTATGATCTGAATGGGTTAATAATCTTCTAATTAAATTTTCAGCTTCTGGACTTAAATGAATATCATCAGGAAATTGTAAAGTTTCTTGAAAATTTAAAATTTTTCTATAAGTTTCTTGTGGAGTTTCTGAACAAAATGGTGGCCAACCAACAAGACACTCAAACATAATTGTACCTAATGACCACCAATCACATTCTTGTCCATAACCTTGATGAATGAAAATTTCTGGCGCAATGTAATCTGGTGTCCCCACTGTAGAATATGCCATTAATCTTCTTGATTTTCTCCAAGTTTGAATTTGTTGACGATTTGACATTGTTAAATGAATTGCATCAACCATCATTGTATTTCTTGAACCTGGTTGTTGTAAAGGTTGAGGTTGTTGTAAATTTTTATTATCTTGATCCATTAATTTTTTATAATAATTTGAATCATGAGTTTTATGGAAACCTGTTGATAAACCAAAATCTGATAATTTTATATGACCACGAATATCAATTAAAATATTATCAGGTTTAATATCTCTATGAATAAAACCTAATTTATGAATAGCTTCAATTGCTAAAACACATTCAGCCATATAAAATCTTGTAATATCTTCAGTGAAAATTTGCCATCTAATTAACATAGTCATTAAATCACCACCTGGTAAAAATTCCATAATTAAATATAAATATTGAGCATCTTGGAATGAATAATATAATGAAACAACCCATGGAGAATCACTACCAGCTAAAACATCTCTTTCAGCTTTAACATGAGCTAATTGATCTTTTTTATACATTTCAGATTTTAATAGAGTTTTCATAGCATAAATTTTACCAGTATCTTTTTTTTGAACTAATCTAACTTCACCAAAAGCACCTTTACCAATAACTTTAACAGTTTCAAAATCATCAAGAGATAATCTTGTTCTTCTTAATCTTAAAAATTGTGATTCTTTTCTACCAAGACTTTGTAATTGACGATTTTTACGTTCTTCTGATCCTTCATCATTTTGTAATTTATGTTCTAAATCAACTCTTCTTTGATTTCTTTCAACTGCATGAGTAACAGACATTTGATAAAAATTTTCTAATCTTAATTTTACTGCAGCTGCTTTATCTTGTGTATGTTTTTTGAAAACATCTGGTCTTCTTTCAAAATAAACATAATTACTATTTGATTGTTGAGTTGGTTGAGGTGGATTTGGTTGGATTTTAACATTATTATTACCAATGCCATTATTATTTAAAGTACTTGATAAATCAAGATTACTTTTCGATGCTAAAGAACTTGTATTCGAATAAACTGGAGTTAAATGATTACTTCTAATGGATCTTGTTGGTGATGCTGGGACTTGAGGTTGATGAAATTTAGGACTTTGAGGAGGTTGTTGATGAGCTTGTTGATGCAATGAAGTTGAACTAAAATTACTTAATTGACCTGGTGAAGTTGAATATGGTGATTGATATGCATTTGGAGGTGTTGACGGTATATTCATTGGAACAGCTGGAGGAGGCATGGTGTTTTGCATCTTCATGAATTGTTGTTGCTGGGCTTGCTGTTGAGCTTGTTGTTGTTGAGCTTGAACTTGAGCTTGAGCTTGTTGTTGCTGTTGTTGATAGTATTGCTGCTGTTGATAATATTCTTGTTGTTGTTGAGCCTGGGCTTGTTGTTGTTGTTGTTGTTGTTGATATTGCTGTTCGTATAGTTGTTGTTGCAAAGATTGTTGAGAATTCTGAGCTCTCATGTAGTTCGAGCTGAACTGAGCAGGAGGTTGGACGAATCCATTCCTCTGGTTCTGCTGTTGTTTTTGTTGTTGATTATATTGATCAGAATACATGTTGGGAATTCCAATGTTTTGATCTGTCTATTTGGGTATGTAGCTTGATTTCAACGGGAATGAATGCGCTCTTGGGGAATGTGATGGTGCTTCCTGTGGTTCCTATGGATTCTGTGTGTTTCTGTGGTCTTTCCTGTACTGTTTTGCCCTGGTTTGACGCCCTTGGTGATGTGTTGAACGCCACTGATGGTTGTTGTTGATTTGATTCAGCGCTAAAGTTGATTTTGATTTTGATTTTGATCTTGAAACCACTAACTTTTTATGGTCCCTTTCAAAAACAGATTCAGAAATTTTGGTTCTAATTTCAAATCTGAAGGGACACTTAAAAATTGCGAGGGCGATTTGAAAGGATTTTAATTAGGCTGAATGAATCACATACGAAGGGAACTACAACTAGACTCATCTACTATCTAGGTAGTATTACTACGAAAATAATAGTCAAAAGTCTATATAGGCCTTGATAGACAGGACACTTCCCACTACATCAATCTTTATCTGTAAAACGTTACATTAAGATATACAAACCCCCCTTTAATAGTAGTGCAAAATAATCAAATAATTTAACCACCTTAGAATTGTAAAGCTTGACCTTTTTGTTTTCTGTCACCACCTAATTCGAAATGTTTACAACGTTTTAATGATAATTGAGCTTTGGTTTTACAAACAACACATTCTAAACGTAAAACAACTTTTTTGGTAGTTTTAGCTTTTTTATGGAAAACTGGTTTGGTTTGACCACCGTAACCGGATTGTTTACGGTCATAACGACGTTTACCTTGAGCAAATAAAGAAGCTTTACCAGCTTTGTATTGGGTAACTTTGTGTTGAGTGTGTTTTCTACACTCTTTACCTTTACAGTAGGTTTTTCTGGTTTTTGGAACGTTGACTATAGTTCTTGTTAGTATATTATTCAAATCATAGATTTTGGATTCAAGTAGGATAGTTGAGTGGTTTGAATACATTTGTATCTTTATTCTCAATATTGTTTGATCATCTTAACTTTGTAGGTTATGAATATGGATTAAAAATTACTGAAATCATTTAAAACTTCTGTCACTTGTGATCTTAACTATATCTGAATGAATCTTCTCTCAATAGCTTGTATTACTTCTTTAATCTTTCATTACTCTTGTATTCTTTATTCTTTTGCCCCTTGAACTTTGCTTAAATCTTTCAAATTATAAATTTCAACATTGAACAAACAAAATTACACTTTTGACAACGATTCAAATAACAACATTGACATGATTGTGATTCTCTACTCATACACTGATCCTCTTGTATCTTAACTTCATATGGACATACCCATTTTTAACTGATGTTGTACCTTTTAATGATGGTCTCTATAATAACTACTACAAAAAGAGTATTAAATTTCAACACTTTTGAAAAACCAACACTGAGTCTCTGCGAATACAGAAAAAAAAAGTGCCCAACCCAAACACCACTCTGGCTTGAATCGCGAAATCTAAGAGAAAAGATCATGAATTGATGACATAATCACGTGTGTTAGTGTTGTTTGCTTCGCGAATTGTTCAGAGTTTGTTGGTTGGTGCAAGAACATCTGAACACCACTGCTAGAATTTTCATTTCCAGACAGTCACATCTTTTGAGCAAACATCAATCATATAGCCCTAGCTTAATATCACCTGACTAGGTGTCTTAGATCTAGAACAGAACTTTTTTTTTGAAACGCGTGGTTGTTTACATTTCCACTTGTTTGTAAACTTGAAATTGTACGAGGAAAAAAAAAAGTAATTGACATATACAGATCTACACCAAAAATAGAATACAGATTTAAACTACATCAACAACCAAACTACTTCACATATTCAACTGGTTTGAAAGTGATATATTTATATTCAAGAGAAAGGATCAAGGTTTTTAATCCAACATCATTTAAGAGAATTCGATTTCTTTTAGTTTCATTCTTTTTGTTTCAGATTTAGATCATCATTCTTAACGGTTCAACATTATTCATTCTCAAGCATCTTTTATTCAATCGTTTTATATTAAAAATTATAAGGAGAATAGAGATCATTAATTCATACCATAATATCAATCAGCATTAATCATTGGAAATAAAGAGACGTCATTTATATCAAAAGCATTTTCTTTTCTCCCCGTTGTTCCATAAATATTGTTTGAATCATGACATTTGGTGATTTTAATTATATCTGTAATCAAACAGCATTACCACTATGTCAAGTGGTTTCATTCACAAAACCAACAGATTATCAACATCTGAATAATGGTATAGTACCGATTTGTTATGCAAGATCTATTGAATTAGCAAATACTGTTATTTTCCAAATTGGTAATGCATTTGCAAATATAGCAGGTTTAGGTGTTTTCCTTATTATTATTTATCATATTAGATCCAAATATACTGCTATTGGTAGATTAGAGATGTTATTTTATTATAATTTATTATTAGCTTTAAATGTTTGTTCATTAGTTGTTGATTGTGGTGTTAGTCCACCAGGTTCAAAATCTTATCCATATTTAGTTGCAGTTCAATTAGGTTTAATATCGGCTTCATGTTGGGCTTTAATGATTTGTGGTCTTTTAGGTTTTAGAATATGGGAAGATGGTACGAAGAGATCAATGTGGTTTATTAGATTAAGTTCTTTTGCTTATGGTGGTCTGACATTTATTATTTCATTATTAACATTTCAAGATTGGATTAAAAATGGTACATTAGATCGTTCAAATACAATGGGTCTTTTCGTATTAAGTTATTTATTCAATGCAATCTTATTAGCTACATTTATTGTTTGTCAAACTTTATTAGCCATCTTCCTTATTAAAAATTATTGGGTTATTGGTGTTATTGCATTAGTTGTTATATCATTTGTTGCAGGTCAAGTTATATTATATGGATTTTCAAGACAAATTTGTGAAAATGTTAAACATTATCTTGATGGATTATTCTTTGCAAGTCTTTGTAATATTTTTGCAAATATGATGCTGTATAAATTTTGGGATATGACTACTGATGATGATTTAGAATTTAGTATTAGTATAAATGAAGATGGTGATGTGCTGTATGCTGATAAATAAGGAAACATAAAGAAAAGATTGATAATTTTGGGTATCATAATAATACAGGTAAATAGGAGATTCATTTTCAATAGAAGATATATTCATATAGATTTGGGGTCAGAATAAAGATGTTTGTAGAACATTAACTAATCTTGGCCACGTTTGTATCTAATATAATTAATTATCCAGCTCATAGGTCTCCAATGATTTGATTTTAAAATACGATTAAAGGCTTTAGATGCATGGTTTAATTGGTTTTTGCAACTTTGTGATTGCTAAGAATACTGAAGTGTTTCTGTCTCGGGTCTCGGAGTTGATATATTCGATCTTGTTTAAGCTTATTCAAATAATAAAGGTTCGAGATTATTACATACTTTATAAAGAAATAATCAAAACATCCAGTTGATCTTCTTGATTATTGTCACATCCATATTGTCTACTCGATGATCTCTATTCCTCTTGTGAGCTTTGGCCAGAGCCGAGTTCCCCTATTTTCTATTGTCTTTAGCTAAATTTCAAGGGTCCATGTGTCTAATTTCCACCCACGTTGAAAAAACAGTACATGGCGGTTAATTTCTCCAGAAGATCAACATTAAGATGAATAGGAATCAGGGAAATACGAAATACAAAGCAGAATTTATCGAATGGCTGCTTTTTCATGACAAAAAGTGAACTAGATATCCATTGATGGTAAAAATACCAAGATATTGTGGACAATTTGGTTGTGTTGGTTGGTGTTTAAGGATGATTGGTTATTGGGATCTATAAAAGATTATGACTTCCCGCTGTATGATTGAAGGTGGTCAATGAATCTTAGGGTATCAACAACTCTGTTTGTAAAGATGAAGCTATCAATCTTGGGTTCATTCGTTGCTTTGGCTGCTGCTGTCAATGCTCTTCCTTCATTGTTGAGTGAAGAAGAAACTGCTGAATTGAAAGTTCAATTAGAAAATCAATATGCTCATACTGAATTCTCTCAACAAGATTCAGAATTGATTGATGTCTTTGCTAAACAATTGAATCAAATCACTCAATACAATGGTACAAATCAATCAAAATGTGACAGATGTGTCGAAAGATTACAATTAGGTAAAGCTATTGCTTTAACAAAACCTCAATTAGTTTCTCCAGTTTTCACTCAATGGTGTCTTGATACTAAATTTAAAAAGACAGAATCATTATGTAAAACAACTTTTGGTAGATTAACAGTTGCAAATGATTCACTTGGTTCAAATTTTGCTCATATGTTACAATTAATGGATCCAGCGGGTTATGATGGTCAATTATATTGTCATTTCCAAGAATCAAAAGCTTGTCCATTACCAGAAACTCCAGAGATGGATTTAAGTCATTTATGGCCTGCTAAAGAATCAAAACATGAAATTGCTCCAGAACCTTCAAATGAAACTTATAACGTCTTACATCTTTCAGATTTCCATATTCAAGAAGAATATCAAATCGGTTCAGAAGCTAATTGTTCTCAGTATATGTGTTGTGGTCCAAGAAGTTTTAATGAAAATCCATTACCTGAAGGCTTCAATTCTACTGCTGATTTCTCTGAAGATGAAATTTCTAAATTATCATATTTCAATGCTTGGTATGATGATGATTATAACTTAATCAAAGGTGATGAAGTTGATGCTTTTGCAAATGAATCAATAAGAGTTCCAGCTTATACTTTTGGTCATTATAAATGTGACTCGCCAGAAGTTTTAATTAATAACTCTTTATTATCTATTGCTAAATATCAAGAAGAGTTAGGTTTAGATTTTGAATTTTCAATCTTCACTGGTGATTTAGTTGATCATGATGAACCAGAATTCATTAATATTAATCAAACTATTAAATCTGAAGAAATGAGTTTCAGAGATGTTAAAGCCATCTTGAAAGATATTCCAATGTATGCTGTTTTAGGTAATCATGATACTTTCCCATATGCACAAATGGCTCAAAAAAAATCAGGTTTTGGTAATTTGTTTGATTGGAATGCTGAATTAATGGCTGATTTATGGGAAGATTATGGCTGGATTAACTCAACTCAAGCTAGATATGCAAGAGAACATTATGCTGGTTTTGCTGTTACAACTAAAAGCAATTTGAAAGTTATCTCATTAAATTCAAATACCTGGTACCCTTCAAACTTATATGCCTATTGGAATGCTACTGATTTTGACTCATTTGGTCAATTCCAATTCTTAATTGATGAACTAATCGAAAGTGAAAAGAATGATCAAAGAGTTTGGATTATTGCACATATTCCAACCATTACTCAAGCTTTACCAGTTCAAGCTGAAGCTTATAAACAAATCATTACAAGATTTTCACCATATACTATTGCTGGTATCTTCTATGGTCATACACATTCTGATCAATTCAATGTCTTATATGCTGGTAATGATGTCAGTGATAAAAAGGAAGAAGATGCTTTACAAAACACTTGGATTTCACAAGCTATTACACCATTAACTACAAACAATCCATCATGGAGATACTATTCAGTTGATAAGAAGACACATTCAATTATGAATGCTTATAACTATTATACCAAATTGAATGAAACATTTACTAATAATTCAGATGAACCACAATGGGAATTTGAATATAACCCAAGAGATTCATATGGTATTGAATGGCCAGAAACTTCACCATTAAATGCTACATTCTGGCATAGAGTTTCAGAATCAATTTACAAAAGTAATGATACTAGACAAACTTATATCAATTACATGAAGAGATTATCACCATATATTCCAACTTGTTCTGAAACTAATCAATGTGATAATACTTATTGTTATGTTTCAAACTTTGTTTTAGAAGATTATAACCGTTGTATTGAAGAATTAGGTATTACATTTACTGGTTATATTTAATCATTTTTTGGCTCTCAAAATAATATATTTTTAATTCGTATCGTTCCCAGGTCCTATTTTTTGATTCATGTGGGACCTTTATAGCAATTACACCAGCAATTATACCCAATTTAAAGATATTATATAGAATATAGTATACAATAACTTGTCATGGCATAGCTTAGTACTAGAGTTCTCCTTATGTATAAATTTGAATCTTTAGAGCCTTTATAACCTTTGTTTCCTGTTCTAAATCCATATTTTAAAGTATAAATCATCTTCGTATAATTTTATCAAGTTGGTAATCATGCTAATCCTAGCTTAATTGATGTAATACATTTTTCCACAATTTTTTATACTTCTTACTGCTCTTCCTTTCTTGGCTATTTAAGAGATGCCTTCTTTATATTATTCTTCGGTATTTACAGCTAAATAGATAAGTATTTCGTTGACTCAAAAGAGCTAGTAACTTATCCTTTAAGCCCAAGATCTAAGTCTCAGTACTGGGAAACAAAAGCCAATAGAGAGCCTCTTTCAAGATATGAAACAAACAAAAGTAATATTCCTCCATATCAAGAGCAACCGTATAAAAAAACTATCATAATGATCTAGCTTAAAGAACTCTTTGTGTTGAAGTTTATGTCTTGGTGTAGGCTCAGGAAAATAAAGTAGTGGCCTATACGATTTAGATTTTCCTGCCAAAATCTAAAAAATTTATAGCGAAAAGGCAATTGAGTATTTCAGATATATAAAGTGGCACTTTCCTTTGTTTTTCAATTGAATAATAAAAGAAATACTAAAAGATAAAATCAAGTCAAAATGAAAGTCACGCCAACTGAATTGAAACGTTTACAAAAAGATCCATCCGCCATAAGGAACATATGTATCTTGGCCCATGTTGATCATGGTAAAACATCATTAAGTGATTCTTTATTAGCAAGTAATGGTATCATTTCCCAGAGATTAGCTGGTAAGGTACGATTCCTAGATTCAAGACAAGATGAACAACTAAGAGGTATCACTATGGAATCATCAGCTATCTCATTGTATTTCAGAGTTCTCCATAAACAAGAAAGTGGTGATATACTTGCCAAAGAACATTTGATTAATTTAATCGATTCTCCAGGTCATATTGATTTCTCATCTGAAGTTTCTACTGCATCAAGATTATGTGATGGTGCTGTTGTTTTGGTGGATGTTGTTGAAGGTGTTTGTTCCCAAACAATTACTGTGCTAAGACAATGTTGGACTGATAAATTGAAGCCAATCTTGGTATTGAATAAAATTGATAGATTAATTACAGAACTAAGATTGAGTCCTGGTGAAGCTTATACACATCTTTCAAAAGTTATTGAACAAGTTAACGTTGTTATTGGTTCCTTCTACTCTGGTGAAAGAATGCAAGCAGATTATCTATGGAGGGAAAAGCAAGAACAGAATGAAGGTGGTGCACAAGAAGAATATGTTGAAAAAGATGATAAAGATATTTATTTTGACCCTGCTCAAAATAATGTCATTTTTTCAAGTGCCATCGATGGTTGGGGTTTCAATATTAGTCAATTTGCTAGATTTTACGAATCCAAATTGGGTACAAAGAGAGAAAACTTGCAAAAAGTTTTGTGGGGTGATTTTTACTTAGATCCAAAAACTAAAAAAATCATATCCCATAAAGGTTTGAAAGGTCGTACATTGAAACCATTATTTGTCTCATTAGTTTTAGATAACATTTGGAAAATTTATGAAAATGTTGTCTTGGAGAAGAATCTTGAAGTTCTAGAAAAAATCATCAAGGCATTAAATATTAAAGTCTTACCAAGAGATTTGAGATCCAAGGATAACAAAAACCTTTTAGTTCAAATCATGAGTCAATGGTTACCAGTTTCATCAGCCGTTTTGTTAACAGTTACTGAAAAATTACCATCTCCATTATTTTCACAAGAAGAAAGAATTCCAACAATTTTAGAATCTGCTCCAAATCATGAACTGATCGATCCAAAATTGAAAAAAGCCATGTTGGAATGTGATAATGAAGGTCCTGTTAGTGCATATGTCTCCAAAATCCTATCTATCCCAGAAGATGAACTACCGCGTAATCAATCAACAATGACACAAGATGAAATCATGGAAAGAGGTAGAAGAGCAAGAGAATTAGCAGCACAAGCTGCTGAACATGCTAAATTATATGGGGATGATAAAAAACCTGATGAAGTTGATGAATTGACTTCAAATATGGATGAGTTTACAATCTCCGGTGATGGTAATGTTGCTACACCAGTTAGTAATGCTGCTGCAGATCCATTTGGTATGTTTGAATATGAAGAAGAGGAAGAAGAAGACAACGGAATTGAAGTCAAAAATGAAGAACTTATTGGTTTCGCAAGAGTTTATAGTGGTACTTTGAAAGTTGGACAAGAACTTACTGTATTGGAACCAAAATATGATCCTACAAATCCTACTAAACATATTCAAAAGGTTACAATTAGTGAACTTTATTTATTAATGGGTAAAGAACTTGTTCCATTGGATGAAGTTCCATCTGGTAATATTGCAGGTATTGGTGGGCTAGCTGGTAAAATTTTAAAGAATGGTACATTAATTGAACCAGATGTCGTTGGTGTCAATTTAGCTGGTATTAATTTATTATCTCCACCAATTGTCAGAGTTGCTTTAGAACCTGCAAATCCAACTCAAATCGATAGATTAGAAAGAGGTTTACAATTATTAAACCAAGCTGATCCATGTGTTCAGACCTTCTTAGAAGATACTGGTGAAATGATTTTAGCAACAGCTGGTGAGCTTCATCTTGAACGTTGTTTGAAAGATTTAAGAGAAAGATTTGCTGGTATTGAAATTCAAGCATCTGAACCTGTTATCCCATACAGAGAAGCTTTCATTGAAACTGAAGAAATGAATCCACCAAAAGATGCAGAGCTAGGTAGAGGTGTTGTACAATTTGAATTAAGTACTGTTTCTATAAAATTAAGAGCAGTTCCTTTACCACAAAATGTTATCGAGTTCTTAACTGAAAATCAAGCTTCTATCAATAGAATTGTCAACACAATCAACAAACGTCAAGATGATGAAGTTGATGAAGAAGAAATTATTGAAAATATTGCTGCAAAATTCTTGGATCCTGAAACTTTCAAGGAAAAATTACAAAAATTATTTGATGCTGATACATCCTCAAATAAAGAGTTATGGTCAAATGTTATTGATCGTATTAGTGCATTTGGTCCAAAACGTTCTGGTCCAAACATTCTGTTTGATTCAGCTGAAACTTCAATTAAAAGATTATTTGATAATAATCCTGACTATGCACAAAAATTCAGATTTGAAAATAGTATTTTCAATGGGTTCCAACTAGGTATGTCTAATGGTCCATTATGCCATGAACCAATTCAAGGTTCAGCCATCTTTATTGAATCAATTCAAGAATTCGAAGAAGATGAAGAACATCAATTGATTCCAAATCTTTTAGGTAGAATCATCACAACCACAAGAGATACAATTCATCAAGCATTATTAGATTGGTCACCTCGTATGATGTTGGCTATGTATACTTGTGAAATTCAAGCTTCGGCTGAAGTCTTGGGTAAAGTTTATGCAGTTGTTCAAAGAAGACGTGGTCATATTACAAGTGAAGAAATGAAAGAAGGTACACCATTTTTCCAAATTATTGCCAGATTACCAGTTGTTGAAGCTTTTGGATTTTCTGAAGATATTCGTAAGAAAACATCTGGTGCTGCTTCTCCACAATTAGTATTTTCTGGTTTTGAGTGTATTGATGAAGATCCGTTCTGGGTTCCAACTACTGAAGAAGAGCAAGAAAGATTAGGTGAATGGGCTGAACGTGAAAACATTGCCAGAAAGTATATGAATGCAATTCGTAGAAGAAAAGGTTTGTTTGTTGAAGAAAAAGTTGTTCAAAATGCTGAAAAGCAAAGAACTTTGAAACGTAATTAGTTAGTCTAATTTCAATTTCCAGTACCCTACTAATAATGATTATATGTTTTTTGTAGATGACCATTGGCCAGCCTTTCAGAGGCAATAACACGTTACTCGTAATTTTAACACGTAATATGAGCAATATTATAATACTCTGCGCGTCTACTTTATGATAACTGTAGCGTTCCCTCGATGGTGAAGCATTTCATATCTTTGTATACGAATCTACGACGTTTCAACTCTCTTGAAGCCAGCAGACACCTTCACTACAATTAGAGAATTAAATCTCTCATGAGCTCTTGACAGTACCTATCCCGCTCTTTTCAAAGTTGATTCCCTATTTCAGTTGCCCATTTCACCTTAGCCACAAAACCTGCGGATGGGTTCATCTACACGGTATTTGAAGATTTCTTTGACCATTGATCTTGAAACATCCCAAAAATTCATGGAAGACCTTGAAATGGGCCATAATCTTTATATACGTTACGTAAGCACCTTCCCAATTCGGTGCGTCGACCAACCACAAAGAAACTTTTTAGTCGCGAATCGCGCATTCTCTTGCATGAACCTCATCAAAACCTGGAAATCAGATCTGAAAAGGATATAACCAACCACCAAAGTGCTCTTGAAACAACAAAAAGGCAAGCGCAAAGAAGGCTATTCCGCTGGGTTTTAACTTTTACCATGCACACAATAATGGTACTGCTGAAAATCTCTGATGTCAGACGTTCATCTTTGTCTCAAACTCAAATTTAGCATGAGTTACAGATATTCAAGGAAACTGCACGCCATTTAGATAGTTTAGATGAAAAGATATATAAAGTCATGAAGAATCCCTAAGTTTGACGTTTTATTTCTTTTGCTTTTACTCTTCATTCATTATAGAATTCAATCAACTTCAATTATATTAGCTTTGATACCCATCGCTTGAGATACAACTGTGTTCCCCAAAGGTTTTTCAATCCAACTTCTGTCATTCATTATTAACAACAGATTGCACTTCAATTTTCCAACTATTGTCTTTCATTAAGTGCTCTCTCAATTCAACTAACTACTAGTCACTCACTAAATACTACTATTATTATTATTTCAACTTTTATTCAACTTTTGTCTTACACACAGTTTCAACTCAAAGTTTTACTTCAATCAAATCAAGAATAAACTCAATCTTTATAAAACAAAATCAACATTTAGATAACAATGCTTTTCATCAGATCCTTAGCCGCTTTAGCTCTTTTATCACTTGCAAATGCAGGTCCAGTTCCAGCTCCAAAAGCTGAAGATTCCAACACTTTCAGTTATGATGTTGTCAATGTCGATGGGTCAAATGCTAGACCAACTTTATATGTTCGTGATGATGGTGAAGAAAGTGCCAATGTCGTTACAGGTACAACCACTGTTCAAAATCCAACTACAACATTCACTTATGAATACACCACCACTACAACTACAACCATTCCAGGTAAACATAGAACTGTTTGGTTAACTCAAACTAGAGGTCAAGGTCCACCAACAACTCCAACTGATACCGCAACTCAAGATGCTCAAGGTTCCCAAGATGCTGCTTCAAGTACTTTACAAAACACTGTTATTGATGGTACAACTTATTTGGTATCAGCTTATGTTAGTACAATTAGACCAGATTCAACCCAAACTTATGAATCCCAATATACTTCAGAAGTTGCATCAACTGGTGTTTCAACTATTTCAACATCTGCACCATCTCCAACTCAACAAGAACAAGGTGATCAAAGTTCTTCTGCTGCTTCATCATCAATTACTGCTGCTCCAGATGCTGCTGCTTCATCAGCCGCTCCAGAAGGTTCATCAAGTTCTGAAACAGCATACACTACAGTTTCAAGTGATGGTGTTTGTGAAGTTTACTGGGATGATATTGATTATGTTAGTGGAGATGATGCTTCAAGTGCCACCACAACCGTCACAAGTACTATTTATACTACACAAACTCTTAATTAAGAGGTTTTAGTTTAAATAGAAACTTTTATACTTTTGACGACTTATGACTGGACTATATTATTATTATTTTGGTACTTGATTTTGCAGTTTTTGATTTAGTTTTGATTTTTTTTTTAATATTGTTTTTATTCCTTTTTTGATACTTTTCCCTTTTTACTATTCTCTAAAACGTTTTTTGGTTATTCCCTTGAATTCAGGGTTTATAACTTTATAGATTACGTATGATTATTTGTGATCTCAATGACTCCTTAGCTGGTTGCTCGTTGGTAACTTATAATTCATATTACTCTACAATCGTATTTGTATAACTTGTCAATAAAATTTATTAATTAATTAGATTTGAAAAAGAGTAGCATTATCATCAAAACAAACCATTAGAATTAAAAACAACATCCGATAAATATCCCATTAATAAAAAACACTTGAAGCCATATTTGTTTCATAAAATCTTGGATTCCCATGGTTCTTCTTTGATTCCTGATCACGAAGTACCAATGCAAGACATGTAATAACTAAAGAGCAATAAGGTACATCTAATATACTATTTCTATCCCCATTATTTAAAACTTCAACCATCTTAACATCACCATGCCTTATTGTTCTCTTTATTGGCATTGTAGAGGATTCTCGGTCACTAAATCTTGCTAATGGTGGTAATTGAGATTGTGTTGCATTTGGATCTCTTGAAGTTAATAATGGATCTGTTGGGTCTGCAAATACTTCATCTGTATTATCTGTCAATGAAGGAGAATCATCATTTAACTTTATTAATTTGAAAAAACCAGATCCAAAAGTTGATGACATATTTGTTGTACCAATCCATCTTAATCTTGTATTTCTATAAACAACATCAGCATAAGGAGTTGCAGAACTTATATACATCACTATTGTTTCATTTTCAGGATCATTGATTTGACCATTTGGCATGAATTGGAAAACATATTTAGCAATTTTCATCTTTAAATATTTGAAATAAATTTTACAAAATTCAAATTTTGGATTATCATTAGGATCTAATCCATTTGATGAATTCAATGATGATGGAGGTTTAAACTTGTATATAACCAAAGTTGGGCTGTTTTTCTTGAAAGCACTCAACATTGGTGAGCAAATTTGTAATAATGGAATTCCTAAACCTTGTTTCCTAAGTTCTATATCAACATTCCTACTTTGACTCTTGTATAAATTTAATGATTCTTCAGAGGGGAATACAAATGTACCTTTTTGGAAAATACCAGATACAACAGGCATCGTCCTTATCTCATTAAATTCATGGAATGAATGACCCAATACCAAATCAACAAATGTTTCAGCTCTAGAAACATGTGTCATATTAGAATCATTTGATTGAGTCCTTATCAAATTATTATATTGTTCAGATTGACCGGGGATTATAACATTATTACTAGTATAATTATTTCTATGAGTTGAATTAATTAAAGTCTCTTCACTAGCAGTCCTCAGTAATTCAGGAGCCAAACGACTATGAGTTGTAGTTGTAGTTCTAGGAATATTTGAACTTTGATTAGATTGATTAGAATTTGATCCTTCTTCATCTCTTGATCCTCTTCTCCCACGTATATTCCTTCTAAGCAACTGCATTTTGGTTACCTAGTGAAATAATCTTCCAAATATCCTTTACAATACCACCTTTATCCAAAACCTTTGCTCAACCGATGATTATTTGTTGTTTCTTTGAATATCTTTTGAGTGTAATTTTAGAAAAGCTCATACGTTTTCCCGGAATTCAATGTACTATCACGTGCCAGAACGCGTTGAGTTCCGACTTGTTTTTGGAAATTCGCGTAATTTTTATTTTTTTGTTTGTTTTCGTTTTCGTTTTCAAAACATTGAAGATTTTAAGAAATGATACGGAACCATATATTGGTTTGAAAGTCAGAACATATACCAACCAAAGATAAAAATAAGAAAGATAGAGATGAGTGAAGGTCAAGTGGAAATAGTGGATACTGCTGCTGCTGTTAAAGATGTTGAATTGTCCAAAGAAAGCAGTACAATTGAGTCTCCAGAAGTAAAGGTACAATCTAGTCCTTCAGAAACATCATTAATTGAAACCAATACATCAGATCAACAGATTGATGATATTTTAAAAGAAGTTGAAGTAATTAGACTTAATAAAGAGAATGATATTCCATATAAAGTTAAGATTGAAGAATCTAACCAATCAACACCAAATACAACTATTCTTTCAACACAACAACATGAAGATGATGGTAATAGTCCTGTAACCATAGATTCTTCATTATCCCAATCACCTCCTCCACCTCCACCACATAAAACATCAGAAGAACAATCAAAACAAGTGTCACTACCAATTGAAAAATTAGATCCTAATGAAATTTCACAACCTATTGAACCATCAAAACCTAAAGCTAATATACCAAATTCAGTATCCCAAGCATTATTTAGTCAACCTTTAAAAGTTAATAAAATTCGTTCTAAATCACCAACACCAAAATTCATTGGATTAAAGAAACCTGATGATCCACAAGCAAATAAAAGATTTGAAAATTTACAAAAAAATGAAGATGAATTAACTAAAAAAATTAATAAATTAAATAAAGAAATTGATTATTTGAAAAAACTTGTTGATACAGCAAGTGTTACTGCAGATTTAAATGAATTAAGAAAATTAAAATATGCAATTGAAAAATTAGAAGAATATTTAGATAAAAAACAAAAAGAAAAATATGAAGTTGGTATTCAAATAACAAGAGCTGTTCGTAGAAGAGTTGATAGTGGGGAAAGTGGTGAATTTTGGGTAAACTGAATGATATGATGATGAAATTATATGACATGATTATTATTTTTTTTTAAATTTTGGACATTGTTATTCTTTTGTGGTGTCTCGGTGTATGATTAAGGGGTTTGGTTACCTTTATAAGATTTATATAAAAATCGTGTATAACTAAATATGAACAATTAAAACATTAATAAATATGTTGTGTATGTATTTATTCTAATTATAATCTAACATTCTTTATTTTCTTTTATAGGTTGATGACTATCATCTGGTAAACCTTTAATTTTATCTTGTGGGACATAAAGATGTAAAGAAATTGCAATATCTTTAGTTTTATTATTAATCTTATGACATCCATGAGAATCAGTTATAAAAGCAACAGAATTTTCAGGTAATGTAGTTTGTCTTTTAGGAATTAAAGTTTTTTCCTTGTGTAAAACATCCATATCATATAAATCTTCTTGTAAACTACCTTTTAAAACTTTAACAAAACAATCAGTATTTGGATGTGGATGAATTTTGGAATTTTTACCAGGTTCCCATACAAGGACTAATAATTTTGAATGATTATTTATAATTTCAACTAAATTTCTTGTATATGATTGATTTGGAGTTCTTGTGACGTATTGATTCCAATCAGATTCATTAGTATCATACATTCTTAATAAATTTAAAATTTGTTTAGTTTTTGTTGGTTCTTGTATTCCTTCCATTGGTAATGAAGTTTTGATATCTTGAATTAAACTTTTAAGTGAATTGTTTTTAAATAATTCAAATTCAAATGAAGTTGAATATGATCTTGTAACATTATTGAACCTTTGACATAAACTAAATCTTGAACATCTAGTTAAAGATGATAAACTTGTTCTAATCATCTTGAATCTTTATCACTTCTGATATGTACTGTATTGATGAACTTTGTTCTTCTGACTTATATTTCAATTCTTTGATGAATAGTGGTACTTTCCCTGGATATATATATACAAATCACTAATTAAAGACACCTTTCATAATATTATGCAACTGTTTTTTTTTTTGATTGAAATTGAAATTGTTATCTCCATAGTTAAGAAATTTATGGTTAAATTGACCCAAAAAGACAGCCGTTTTGGTGCGTGCACGCTGATGAGCTGATATTTTAATAAATTTAATTTTAATTTTAGAACAATTAAACAATAGAATTTAACAATTTTGATATAATTTATGGTAATAAAGTGTACTATATTCTCGGGGAATTGTCTTATAGACCCCATTTTAAATTTCGGGGTTTGAATTTCATAGAGTTTATATACTTTATAAATCATTTATTTACTTCAATTTGAAGAAATATTAAAAATGGCAATTTTTTTTTCTTTGAATTTGCAGTATTTAAGCATATCATGGTAATATAGAAGCAACCAGGATCATAAAAATGATATAATTAACTCATGTTTCTTAACAAATTATTGTATTAAATCTATTTAAATAATGTCAGTTTGAGTCATATCAATTACATAATCAGTATAAAAATAAGCTCCGAAATTGTTAAATTTTAGATATTTCAACTATTTAAAATGATAAAACCATGGGGAAAAAAAAGAATAAAGCACTATTATCAACTAAATACACATATTAATCAACAAATCAATCATTCTTCAATCAATTAATCATGTGACTAGAAATTTCGGTTATTATGGGCTTTTTTTTAATTTCGTGCTCGCAACGATTTACCCTTTTAATTTTCTCGAATTTGATCGAATATTTTAAAAGAATAATGGAAGAATAGTACCAGAGATTCAAGTAACATTATATATCTTTAAAGAACTTTTATCTTGATTCTTTTTAAACTATAGAGATCAAACAATTATAATCTAAAGCATTTGAAATTTGAAATTTGAAATTTGAAACGAAGAAAAGAAAGAAGGAGACAAATAGCTTTTATAATTATAACGCTGTATTGATTCAAAGGCAAATTCATTAGATATTCAAAAGAACAAGTTTTAAAGATTATTGGATTAAAGAATAATGGCAAGATCAATCATACCTACATTAAATAAACTTAATCAAAATGCTGGGAAATTAGCAACAAGATCATTTAGTTCCCTTTCAAGACAACAACAACAACGTCCTTATTTAAACCGTAAAAAAATCCAATCAAAAAGATTATTCCATTCATCAACTCCAAAATTAGCTGTAAAAGATCCTTATGGAACATTAGGTGTTGATAAAAATGCATCATCATCAGAAATTAAGAAAGCTTATTATAAATTAGCTAAAAAATTTCATCCAGATATTAATAAAGAAGATGATGCACAAAAAAAATTTCATGATATTCAAGGTGCTTATGAAATTTTATCAGATGCTGAAAAAAAACAACAATATGATCAATTTGGTGCTAGTGCATTTGATCAAAATGGGAATAGTGCATATGGTGGTGGTAATCCATTCGGTGGTGCAGGAGGATTCGGTGGTGGTAACCCATTTGGTGGTGCAGGAGGATTTGGTGGTATAAATTTTGAAGATTTATTTGGTTCAGCATTTGGTGGAGCTGGACGTGGTAGAGGTCGTGGTGGAGCAGGTTCATCATTTGTTACTGAATATAGAGGTGATGATATTGAAATTTTAAAATATTTAACATTTAAAGAAGCTATATTTGGTGTTAAAAATTCTAAAGTTAATTATAGTGTCTTGGATAATTGTTCAAGTTGTAAAGGTTCTGGATTGAAAAAAGATAAGAAAAAATCAACTTGTTCTTCATGTGGTGGTACTGGTTCCACAGTTCATTATATGCAAGGTGGATTCCAAATGGCTTCAACTTGTATGAGTTGTGAAGGTTCAGGTGTTTCAATTAATCCAAAAGATGCATGTAATACATGTCATGGTGATGGTGTTTCACAAGCTACCAAATCTACAGAAGTTGATTTACCACCAGGATTAATTGATGGTATGAGATTAAGAGTTAGTGGAGAAGGTGATGCACCAAAAATTACTACAGGACCAGGAATTCGTACAACAAAAGGTGATTTAATTATTAGAATGAAAGTTAAACCTGATTCAAGATTTCAATTGTCAGGTTCTGATATCATTGTTAAAACTCAAATCCCATATACAACTGCTGCATTAGGTGGTCAAGTTGAAATTCCAACAGTTGATGGACCAATAGTTAGATTAAAAGTTCCATCAGGTACCGAAACTGGTTCAATTTTATCAATTCATGGTAAAGGTGTTCCAATTAGAAATAATATTAATAATCGTGGTGATTTGAAAGTTCAATTTAATGTTAAAGTATTGAGACCTGATGGAGCTGCACAAACTGCATTGTTAGAAGCATTAGCAGATTCAATTGGTGATACCACAGCAAAACGTACAAATTTATGGAAAAACACATCAGAAGAATCTAATGATGCTAGTTCAAAACAAGAAAATGATCATCCATCAAATTTGAAAAAAATTGAAAATTTTATAAGTGATGCCTTTAAACGTATTACACATAAAAAAGATGAAAAATAAGAGAAAATAAGATTTTTGATGAATTAAAAAGAAAACAGATTTGTATATAGATTATCATTTTAATATGTTTGATTAATTCATCCAAGAGATCAATCAAAAGATCAACATTCAACTCATCATATATACACCCTGGATCGTCCATCATTATCATCGGTATACATTCCATACATTTCATAACATTCCCATACATTCCATGAGCAATAAAGATCCAGACCCTTTTAGAATTTATTTGTACATAAACGAATTGAACATGAATATATTATAGTATATACCATTGGTCATTTGTAGTACTTCTCAACTTCCAACTTCCTATAAAACAGCCCCTGTTTTCCCAAGTTTATTCAATTCAGACGCGGTTGACGCGTTGATTTTTTGGTGTTTCCTTTCGCTTGCATATATAAATTTTAAAGCGAGACATAAATGAAAAATGAAATTAAAAGAAAAGAAAATCCTCAAGAACTAAAACATCCAAAGAACTAATCAAACACAAACACAAACACAAACACAAACACAAACACAAACAACTCAACTTTAGTCACTCTTTTAACCAGCAACAAACCATCAAACAATTTACAACACGTTCATTTTAATTTTCGCTTGTCAGATTCTGAAACTCCCGGTGTTATTTACTTTTGTACAAATTCGGTATTTCCATCTTCACGAAATTTATATATCCAGATTTCAATTTTAAAGACCTGAAACCCATAAAATCACAAAAAAAGACATGGCAAAGATGGACCCTGAACAGTTCGACGACGTGGATATCAACTTGGATTCCTTCTCATCAAGACAACATCAGACACTGGCTCGTCATTCTAGCTTGAACTATTTGTACAGAAAGAATAAATCTGTTCAATATATTGGATCTCATGATTCTATAAATAGATCCACTACAAATTTAATCAATAACAATTCTCATGATAATCTAGGGAAAATGAACAAATATACACAGCAGAATAAGCCATTGCCTCCATCACCAGTGAAAGAACTAGAGAAAAATAACCAAGTTTCAATGGTTCCAACTAAACCAAATTATTCACCTTCTAAAAAATTACATAAAAAACGTGAAATCCCAAAAGATGATTGGAAACAACTTCATGATTTTGATAATGATTCAGAAGGTGATTTGGATGATACTATATTGATCTATGATGTCCCATTATCTCAATCTCTTGTTCAATTAACTTCTCATCAAAAACCTATTCAACCTCCTTCAAGATTACATTCATTAGCTTCTGATACTACTTATACATCATCAATAATGAGTTCTCAATATTCAATAGATTCTGAATCTGATATGGAGACTTTAAACACAGATGCAAAGCAAATCGCATGGGAAATGTCACGTTCTAAATCTGTATTAGCTATCCAAGAATCCTCAATGAGACGTCATATAATTTCAAATTTTGATAGACCAAAAAGTACAGACTCCCAAAATTTACCACATAGTGATCTAAAGGGGAAATTTATTAATGGTACAAGACAAGATAATTTACCTCCTAAGCAAAAAGAAGAATCTCAGGCTCATTTACAAGCTTTCCAAAAAATTAAATCTAGAGCTATTAAAAAAGAACTAGAATTAGAGAAAACCAAGTTAAAACAATTAGAATTAAGAAAATCTCAACAACAACAAGATTTGAATAAATGGGAAAGAACAGTTATACCCAATTTTGTTCAACAAGTTCAATTAGCCGAGACAAGAGAACTTTGGTGGAGAGGAATCCCATCAAAATTAAGAGAATTTATATGGACTGAACAAATTGGTATCAAAATTCCTCTCCAAGAAATTTCTAAACTTCATATTCAAGCATTAAAATTAATAGATTCAAATACCGAATTGGTTCAATTAATTAGAAAAGATATAAGGTCAATTTTCCCAGATGTTCCAGCATTACAAACTACATTATATCATAAATTATTAACTTTATTAGTTATGTATTCAAATTATAAATCTTATCAATCTGGATTATCAACCTTAGCAGGTGTTATACTATATAATGTTCATGATTTAAACTCTTCATTCTTATGCCTTGTTGGTATATTACAAAAAAATCTAATGAAGTTATTATATAATAATCAAATTGATGATTTTAATATTGAATCAAATTCATTTTTAAGAACATTTGAAAAGAAAAATCCTCAATTATATCATCATTTCCAATTATCATTAAAATTAACACCTTGGGAATATTTAGAACCTTTAATAAAACCAATTTTTTCAAATCATTTACCAATTGAAATTGTTTCATCAATTTTGGATATTTATATATTTGAAGGTGATTCAATTCTTTGGAGATGTGTCCTTGGGTTATTCAATAAGATTGGATATAAATTATATGGTAATAAAGATGAAGTTTTAGAAGTTATTGGTTGGGATGCTTTACAAAAATTAAATAAGGGGAAAAATAATCAATGGTTTAGATATTTAGATGTTGGTGATGATTATGAATTTATAAATATAGTTCGTGAAGTTTTGAAAAGGAAATAGATATTATCCTATATATTTTTTGCTTTTTGCTTTTTGATTTTTTATGATTGGTATGCTTTAGATCTGTACAATTTTACAATGAACAATATATAATTATTTTATTATTTAGAATACACATGAAAATTAATGAAAAATTGGGGTATCTGTTTGGTATCTTTCTCTATTTTTGAGCATCTTGTAATGCATTTAATAAATTCTTACCATCTTCTGGAGTTTTAACTCTTGCTATATAAGTTTCAATCTTACCTTCAGCAGTAACAATAGGTATTCTAACAGTATTACCATTCCCAATTGTATCATATTTAAAATCTTTTGATATTGCTGCATTTAATAAAACTCTATTTGCACCATCTGATCTTACCAAGATTCTTGATTTTGAAGTTTCTTTATGTTTAAGGACTTTTAATTCACCAAGACCTTTTGATTCATATGGATTTTCTTTATTACCTGGTTGATAAATTGATAATTTTGATCTTTTGGTATATGTAACATCTTCATCTTCTTCACCTGTTTTATCTTCAATTTTTTCAGTTAATTGAACAACTGGTTTGAAATTTGTTGTTGGTTCTTCTTCTGAAACTTTATCATCATCATCTTTATCATCATTTGTTGTTGTTGATGTAGTTGTTGATGGTTTATTACCACCAATATTAAAATTAAAAGTTGATGAACCTTGACCAAATGAAAAGGCAGGTTTTGAAGAATCATTGAAATTAAATGAAGGTGGTGTTGAAGTTGAATTTGCACCAAAATTAAAACTTGGTTTTGTTGTTGATGAAGTTGTAGAACCACCAAAGTTAAAAGTTGGTTTTGAAGCATCTTTATTCTCAGTGGTTGTTGTTGATGTTGTTGAACCACCAAAGTTGAATGTTGGTTTTGAAACATCTTTACTTTCAGTACTTGATGTTGAAGGGGTTGTATTAAAGCTAAATGTTGGTTTATTTGTAGATTCATCTTGTTTTTCAGTTGATGATGGTGCAGAAAATTTAAATGGTTGAGTTGCACTTGAATTATTACCAAAACTAAATGTTGGTTTTGATGGAGCTTCTTTATCTTTTTCATCTTTTGTATCATTTGAAGAACCAAATTTAATTGGTTTTTCAGGATTCCAACTAAAATTAGATACAGGTGCAGGAGTTGGTTTAGTTTCTTCTTTAGTTTCTTCCTTTTTATCTTCCTTTTTATCAGGTGGAGGTAATTTAAATGGATTATCAAATTTAGTAGAACTTGCACTAAATGTAAATGAAGGACCTGTTGAATTTGAATTAGATTTATCATTGGTTTCAGATTTATTTAATTTGAAAACAGAATCATTTGTAGTTGGTGGAGCAGCTAATGTGAATTTTGGACCTTCAACTTTAATTGAATCATCGGAATCATCAGAATCATTATCAGAATCATTTGAAACGTTTATAACTTCTTGATCTCCATCATTTTTGGTGGAATTAATTGTATCATCTTTTGATTCTTCCATTGGAGTTGGTTCTTTAGTAAAATTAAAAGAAGTAGGAGCAGGAGCAGTTGAAGCAGCATTGTTACCAAATGTTATAGCTGCAGGTTTTGATTGATTTTGAGATTGACCAAATGTAAAAGTTGGTTTATTTGGAGCAGGTAACGATTTTTGTTCATCTTTATTTTCTAATTGTGGTTGAATAGGTTGATCTTGATCAGCATCAGGTAAATATTCAGGATCATTTTCAATTTTTTCATAATAATCAATATATTTTCTTAATATTGGAGTAAAATTTGATACAGGATCTTGATTTTTTTCTTGAGTAATTTTATTATAAAAATTATCATTTAATGCTTTAATTTTATTTGGTTTTGGATCTTGTTGAGTGGACTTTTGTGTTGAAGTTAATTGAGTTGATGGTGATTTAGTTAATGAAGTTTCACCCTTGTTATTATTGTTATTAATAAATGAAAATACATTTTTTGGTTTTTCTTCAATTGGTTTTTCATCTGAAGAAGGTTTAGCAAAAAACCCAAATGGATTTGGTTTTGAAGGTTCTTCATCTTTTTGAGTAGTTGATTGACCAAAATTGAAACTTGGTTTTGATGTGGTTGAAGTATTTGATTGACCAAATCCACCAAATGGATTAGCAGGTTTATCATTAGCAGCAGCAGTAGTAGAAGCACCAAAACTAAAGCCTGAAGATGGAGCAGCAGAAGAAGCAGCAGAACCAGCACCAGCAGCTCTATTCAATCTAGATCTTGGTTTTAAAATCTTTCTTTTAGCTAATACATCAGCAGAAGCTAAAGTTGGACCTTTTGGAGCTTCATCATCATCATCACTTCTTTCATGTTCATGTAAGTTTTCTCTTGTAACTTGATTATCAGCTCTACGTTTCCCAGACATCTTTGGATATATTGAATTATTGATATTCTTTCTTTTTTGGAAATATAATGTGACAAATTATTAAAGCCCTTGTATATCAATTATATATAGCAAAACAAACAATAATAAAGGCTAAATAATCAATAGGATACTCTTCAATTGAAATAATGTACCAAATGAATCAATTAAAGACAGCCAAATATGAGCCTAAGTATATTAACCAATTGTTTTAAATTAGCCGCTTTGAAAGATATGCTCAAATTCAATTGTTTGTTGACAGTTTTGTTGTGTTTTTGTTTATGTTATTCTTTTAAAAATTTAACGAATTGGTGGTGATTATGTGAGCAAAGTACTATGGATTATGTCAGCGATGAGATTGAATTCAATTATTACTGATTGATTGATTGGAGAAGTAGTGGTGATTAAAAGAGATATTGGTAGAAGATATGTAAACACTACGAGTGGAGTTATTCTTTTGTAGTTTTATTGCTGTTATAAATGAATTCTGTTCCATCACTGTCTAACTAATTTCAACTTCCTAAACAAATTCAAAACGAATGTGAAGGAAGAAAAATGAAATGAAATGAAATCTTCTTAACCCTAATCAAAGATAGTCATGTGATGTATATCAGGTCATCTATCGCGAATCCATGACTAGACTTGATTGGTGTCCTGATGTGCAACCACAATCTCCTTACTCACCCTTCAAATGCTTGACAGATTCTTCCTCCCAACACCAAAAAACAAAACAAAATCAAACAAACGCAAATTGAACACATTCGCGAAACCCAATTTCCATTGGTACACACAGCATCGCGAATAGTTTGAGACGACTCCTCTCTGTGTTGGGAATTAAAATTAATTTTCCTTTATCAAACAAAGTTGGAAACTATTCACTATTTTTAAAAGAAGTAGCACAGTTTAAGCATACATCACAGTAAGTCAAGGATGAGTGACATATATACTATGGGAATGAGAATGGGAGATATAAATATGGATTAGATGATACTGGTTGTTCTCAAGTTTTAAAGAGATGTTTGTCACTGGGTTTCGTAATAAGATATTAAAAGTAAAACTATATGATGAAAAAGATTTGAATAGACAAGAAGTAAAATGATCAGTAAAAGGAAGATGAAACAAAGAGTAATGATGGTCATTCAATATCAATGAATTATTCAAAATTATCAGTTTATTCAGAGATTCAAGTTTTCAAGATTTTTTTCAACATCAGTAAAAAACCATAAGTAAAGCCATAAGTGAATGTAATGAGTACTATAAGTATAACTAAAGAACCAGTTTGAATCTTATTCATAATACCCATAACATTCAAATTCCCATAGTTTTATAGTCCATTTTAAGATCATATAACTAACAATTCTTTAGATGCCACCAAAGATTCAACAATCAAAAGCTGCTAAAGCTGCTGCCGCCATGGCCGGTGGTAAAAAATCAAAGAAGAAGTGGTCCAAAGGTAGAGTTAAAGACAAAGCTCAACACATTGTCATTTTAGATCAAGAAAAATATGATAAAATCGTTAAAGATGTTCCAACTTTCAGATACATTTCAGTTTCTGTCTTAGTTGATCGTTTAAAAGTTGGTGGTTCAATTGCTCGTCAAGCTATTCAACAATTAGAACGTGAAGGTCAAATTAAAAGAATCTCTAGACATTCAAGTCAATTGATTTACACCCGTGCTTCTGCTTCAGAATAAGCTGGTTTCTTTTGAATAATAATATATAAGGGATTAGTTATTTAAATGTACATTTAACGAGAAAATATTACTTGTAACTTATTCGATAGTATTACCACTTTTATTACCTATTATCTTGTTGATTATTGTCAGTTTAATAAATTTGCCCTAAAAGAATTCAATTCGCGAATTGATTTTTTTGATTTTTTTGTTTTTCATTTTTTGGTTCTTCGTTGAGTTTTTCTCATATAAAAATTTGTTCCATAAAAACTTTTTCTCTTTAAATTTATTTCAAAAATCATAAGAATCAGAATCATAAGAATCATTGAGATCAAGTATGATTTCATGATCTTATGGGGCATAAATAATCATATAGAATAATAAGGTATGTCAAACTAAGCTGAAAACTGAAACCCATTTCTACTCAATAATTTCTAAATGATTATATCAATTATCATTTTAACTGAGGAAGTATATGCAGGACAAAATAAAAAATTAGGAATTCTTCGTTTATGATTTAAGAAAAATATTGAAAGAAATTGGTTCATTTCACAATTCGTATTGTGATTCAATAACTAACAATTCCATTAGTATGTTTTTGAGATCGTTTATATATGTTTTAATCTTTTCAATTTTTATTGATGAAACCTTTCACACCTTTTCCCGGTGAATAAATTAATGTGCCATGGAAAAAACATGCATCACCATCTGACCTTTTTAAACTGTGGAAAGATTTAAGATATATATGATTTATATCAGAGTGTTTACTAACATGTATCAAGGGATTAATAACAAAAGTCATATGGTATCTGATTTCACTTTTAGATGAAATATCTTTTATGGTATGTATTAATACAATATTCACAATGTGTTTTTAAGCTGATGATAAACCATTTTCAGTTCTGCTTCTGAGAACAAATGAAGATAACAAAATTTACCAAAACCTTCTGACATTAAAAGACAAATTTGTGGATAATATTTGTATTATTGGGATTTTCAAACTAACAATGGTTTTAGATGTGTTTAATCTTTTTATATATATGATTATTATTTGAATTTGGAATTACTTGTAGATGTACATAACACATGTTGGTACCAATAATATACTTCTACTATTTTCAAAAACTTAGCGCTGTATATGGTAATACTGAAATAATAGACTACATTGGTGATTAAATAAATGTATGTTTTATATTATATAAATTAAACAAAGTTGATAAGAACAAGTCTAAACTTCGTTTCGACTTGGTCTAGATCTAAATCTAATAAACTTCTAAAATATATCTTGAAGTCTCCTTCATTTCTTCAACTTCATGAGCTGCATCAATTTCAACACCACGTTCTTTAGCTTCTTGATCAACAATATCTTCTAAAGCTGAAGTAATATCAGGAACAGGCCATGTAGGACCACACAAGTAAAAACTACCATTTTCTTTAACAATAGCTTTTTTCAATTCTGGTAAAGTTTGTCTAATACGATCTTGAATATAAATCTTTTCAGGTTGATCTCTTGAAAATGCTGCACCAATATGTGTAATAACACCAGCATCCTTATAAGCTTCCCATAATTCACCATACAAATATTCTTCTTTACGATGTCTTGCACCCAAGTATAAATAAACATCACCAATTTCAAGACCTTGTTGTTTTTGCCAGATTTTTTCTTCGACAAATGCCTTGAATGGTGCTAACCCAGTACCAAGACCTGACATAACAATTGGTTGAGTTGATAATGGTGGTAATTTCATAACTGAAGGTTTAACACTAACAACTAATTCTTGACCAATAGATAATTGTGATAAATATCTTGAACATTGACCAAATCTTTTACGTTTTCTATTATCAACCCAATCAACAACAACAATTAATAAATGAACTGCATTTGGATGTAATTTTTGTGATGATGCAATTGAATATTCTCTTCTTTTTAAAGGTGGAATTAAAGTTAATAATTCTGATAATGATGGTTTTGCACTTGGGAAATTTTCTAAAATATCTGAATAACTATAAAATTCTTCATCTTGATATTTTTTCAAAAGTGGAGTACCATCTGCAGAACCTAATAATTCTAATTGTTTTCTTTCTTTTTCATCTGTTGCAAAAGGAGCTAATGATACATAAAATCCTTTTGGTGGTTTACCTAATAAATCTAAATTATCAGTAAAAGCTTGGAAAACAGTTCTTAATTCAACAATATTTTGATCATCTTTATTAGGAACTTGAACAAATTGATCAGGATCAAGACCATAAAATTCAATAAATCTTGAAACTTCTTCCGGATCATTACGACCATGAACACCTAAAGCTTCACCAATATCATAAGTTAATCCAGTACCTGTAATATCAAATTCAATATGGAAAATATTTCTTGAATAATCATTTGGAGTAACACGACGATTTTCTTGAACTTTAACAATAAAATTACGAACTGGTAAATCTGGTCTTAAGTTATTTTCACTTTGGAAAGCTTCACCAAATGTTAATTTTTTAACTAAATCAACATAAGTTGATGTAGTTGGTTGATCTTGTTCCACTTGAGTTTTTGGATTTGGTTCAAATGATGATTCAATTGGGAAAATTGGTAAAGTGATTTCATTTTCTTCAATTGGTAATTCTGACCATTTTGGATCAACGCTGATTTCTTTATAACCATTGTTGAAAATTTCTGTAATAACTGAAGTTAAAACAGCGGCTAATAATTCAATATCAGAACCTGATGAATGCCAAACTTTTCTAACAATTTCATTAATATCCAAATGAGGTGCTGCAAATTTCCAAAAAATTGATTGAATTGCAATAATACCTGTACGACCTTGAGTTTGTTGATGTTCACCAATTGTAGCTAAATCCACGACAACTAATTTATTTTCATTTTGGGACAAATTACGACGAAATTGAATTGGTAATGAATCAGTGAAAGTTTTCAAATCTTTTGGTAAATCTTGATGAACCAAAATGATTGTACCATGACGTTTAACTGTTTTAACAACGTTAATGTTTTTCAAAATTGATAAATCTTCAACAATGATAACATTTGCATTATCAATTGAACCCACAGTGGTTTGTGAAGGGTTTGATGAAATTTGAGCTTGATAAATACCACCTAAGATTTCATTATCAAATTTTGATCTAAATTTAACTTGAGAATTTTGATCTAATGAAAAATTATGTGCTAATTTAGACCCAACACTATTAAATTTCCCATCATCTAATGACCAAAAGATATAATCACCAGATGGAGTTATACCAGTTGATGAAACAGTTTCAATTTCCTTGATTTCAGGAACAACAACAAATGAAGAAATAATTTGTTCCACAGCAATTGAAGACCAAATAAATGTTGGAGAATAAATAAATTCTAAAATTTTAATTTTTGAAGCTAATCCATTAAGGAACACAGTAGCACCAACATTAGTTTTCAAAATTGATGATTTATTATCTAAAGATTGACCAATAACAACTAGGGATTGAGTTGTTGAAGGTAAAGAATTAATAAATTCATCAGTATCAAAAGGTAATGGAACTCTAACAGCTAAAACACCAATTTTTAAATCATGATTCTTGGATAATTCATTAATTTTTAAACCAAATAATTGAGATTCTAAAGAACCATAAATAATGAAAACATGAGTTGCATCATTATGACCAAAATATTCAAATGGTTTATAATTTGTACCTAATAAAGAATTCAATGATGATAATGCAGCTGATGGTCTCTTTGAAACAGGTAATTGTTCCCATGAAGATGTAGCAGTTTGTAATTTTTGGAAAATTGAACTTAAAGTTTCTTGATCCAATGCATCATCAATTCTTAAATTTTCTTTTAAATAATTTGGACCATCATATAAATTAATTGATGGAGAAACTGAAGCGAACACGTTAGATAATAAAGCTAAATGTTGAGCTTCAATTGGAGAGATTGGAGTGAAAACTGTATAATTCAAAGCTTGTGCAAAATTTAATGGAGTAACATAATTTGGAACTAATGAACCAATAGAGGAATCATAATCTAATGCAGCAATTTGGAATGATAATGGTAAATTTTTGTTATTAAATTTTAAAAGTTGATTTTGCATATATGGTAAAGCAGAACCTGACGCAATAACTGGGAAAATTTCCTTAGACACTGGTTGACCTTGACCTTGTGATTTTTCAATAGCTGAAAGATAACCTAAGATTGCATTTGAAGCACCAGATCTAACTTCAAAATTTGATAAATTTGGTACAATACCTTTAGAATTTTTTCTTTGTAAAATAGACCATAATTTTAAACTAATATCCAAAACATCATCTGAACCAATAGATTTATAAGTGAAAACTTTGGAAGAATTTGCATAAATTGCAGAATTAATTAAATTATTTGGTGTAGTATAAACAGTACCTTTTAATGAATTTGGATCTTTTGGTAAACCAAATGGAGATGAGATTGTTGTAGCTGATAAGTTTGTTACTGAAGGGGTAACACTCTCAATAAAACCAGCAACAGACATGTTAACCTTTGACCTTTATCAATACAAGAGTACTACAAGAGTACAAGATTAACTTTTCATAAATCTTTTATTTATCACTGCATTAGCCACAAGATCTCGAGGATACTGATAAACAATTTCACGTGATATTCTGACTATATAATTAAAACAAATGTGTGTGGCTAATTGGAAAATTGAAAAATTGAAAAATAATAGGAAATGGAAATCAATGGCCTTTGAAAAAATGAATTTCAAACCCCGACATTCGCGAATTAATTAGATTATGTAATACAAAACACTAGCCACAACAATCACATGATAAGTGTGGCTAGTGTTGATTACATAATTGATCACATAATTACTGTGGCTAGTGAATTCGCGTGTTTTTCTTTTCTTTTGTTGTTACGCGAATTTCAGCAATTTAAAATGTGACAATTTGAATTTGAATACTTTTGACTATGGGAAATCAAAACCCATTAAAAAACACAGCGGTTAATTAATAATTGGTTATATTGGTTACTGGTTACTGGTTTCATTGGTTATAAAGCTCATACAATTCATACATTTCATACAATCAACAGGTGTTTTCCAATGTCCTTCAACCCACTACTTTTAAACAACCTTGTATCAAAACCCCATACTGAACAAGAAGCTGCTTTAAGAGAAATTAGATTATCAATTATTGGTGATGAAGATGAAAAATTAATATTATTAAACTCCCAGGATTTCATACAAATTTTCAAATTATTTGATCAATTTGTTAATGGTGAAACCAAGGATACACAAGTATTACAACATTTATTAGTTATTATATCTTCATTGGTTTATTTTCCCCCAGCTTTACCAAAATTAATTAATCAACATAATATTGTTATTAAATTAATGATTATTTCAAATCAATTTGCTAATGACAATACTATATTATCAATCATATTCAAATTATTATCAAATATCCTTTCATTAAAACATGATTTAAACCTGGAATTAAATAGTCCTGATGGGGTGTTATTTAGAAATTTGATTTTATCAAAACTAGAAATCAATAACACTGATAATTATAAACTCATTAAAGAAAATGAATTATTATATAATATATTCACTTTAATTCCTCATTTAAATCCATTAGTTTTAAAAAATTTAATTCAACCAATAATGAGAATCTTGGAAATTGTTTTGAATAAACCAACAAATTATCTTTATTCAAAATATGGTGGTAAAAATTATTATATTGATTGTTTTAATAGTTTAATCTTACCAAATTCTCCACCTTTAGTTCTTTTCTCAAATTTAACAGGTCCATTATTATATTCATTAGCTCATTTATTATATTATGATCAAGAATCTTCAATGAGAACTTTTTCTTCATCAAATCATAATGATGATGATAAACTTTTTGATATTGAAAATTTAAACAAGATTAATCAAATTAATTATAAAAATTTTAATAAAAATTTATATTTTACAATAACTTCATTATTAAAATCAAATGATTATGAATTGAAATTATCTGCTATATCATTATTAATTAATTTTTCAATTAATTCAACTTTATCAGATTTAGAAAAAAATAAAAATGTTCGGAAATTTTTACCATATTTAATTCAATTAATTGATTTAGATGATTCAAATAATTTAATTGTTTTCAAAAGTGAACTGAAATTATCAAGAAGATTTAATCCTTTTTATATCTTATCCAAATTATGTTTAAATTTTGAATTTGTTAATGATTATTTATTAAATTGCAACATCATAAAGAATTTTTGTGAAATTATAACAAAATTTAAAAAAATGGATTTTAATTCATTAACTTTATTAAAATTAGATAATTTAAGTGATTTATTCTTGATATTAAGTTCAATTACTTCAAATAATGAACAAAATAGAAATTTAATTGTTAAACATGATTTATCAGAAACTATTCATAAAATTTTAGAGTTCCATTATTCAAATTTGAAAAAATATTTGAAAAAACATTCCAAAGATAATCAGCAATTAGATGATTCAAAAGATCTTGATCAAATTTTAATTGCTTCAAATAATCTGACAATATCAACTTGTTATTTATTACGTTCATTATCAAGAAGTGTATCAATATTAAGATCATATCTTTATGAAACAAATATAGTGGATAATTTACTAAACATTTTAAAAATTTCAGAAGATTCATTAATTAATATTGATGAAAAAAATCATGTTATTAATAAATCTGAAATTTTATTGAAAACTATAATTTTATCAATTATTTCAAATTTAGTATTGGATTTTAGTCCTTTAAGAAATGATTTATTAAATAATAATTTAATTGAAATTGTTTCAAATCTTTTATTAACTACAAATCATAATCAAATTAAAATTAATTGTCTTTGGGTTATTCGTCATATTATTTATAATGAAACTTCAGTGATTAGAGATAAATCAATTGAAAAAATTGGTATCAAGACAATTTTAAAACTTTGTAATGATGAAGATTCAACAATTCAAGAACAAGCTTTTAATGTATTAAGAAATTTAACATGTAGTTCCAAGTTTCATGTTAATAAAATTTTAAATACATTTGCTTCAGAAAATCAAGGTTTTGATTTTTTCCAATTTATTTATGAAAAATTATCAACAATTCCAATGTCAAATTTAAAAAATGAAGGATTAATTGAAAGTATAATTTTTATTATAGTTCATATAGCTGCTATAAGTGAAGTTAAAAGAGAATTAATCATTAAAAATACTCAACTATTAAATAAAATAAGAGAATTATTACAATATTATGAAAGTAATGAAGTTAAATTATCATGTATTTGGTTAGTTATAAACTTAACATGGATGGAAAATATTTCAAATCAACAACCACCACCATTACAAAACCAACAACAATCAATACAAACAAATAATTTCTTTGAAGATGAAGATATAATGGATGAAGATGAAGAAGAATTTGAAGATGGTGGTGATGAAGAAGGTGATACAGATCCAACAAATTCAAGATTAAGATCTCAATTAAATATAAATCCATCAAGAAATCTTAATAGAAGAAATAATATACCAGGTTCAATAACTGAAAATTTTATTGATTCAAATAATAATTTTAATAATTTGGATCAAAATCCTTCCAAGAGAGCTGGTATATTAAATGAAATTGGATTTACCAAGATTTTAACAGATCTTTTAGATACAGAAAATATTGATTTAAAAGAACGTGTTAGAACTGCTTTATTTAATTTAACAAATGCTGTTAAACCTGAGGATAATTAATAACACCTGATCACTAGGGTATTAGACCTAATTAATGATATGTTTATGTTTTATGTTTATTATTGATGTAGTTGACTACAATATGGTCTTATCATTAAACGTTTGTATTAAATTAATTAAGATTTATAAATATATTTATCTATGTTATAACCCTTTCGTAACACATTAGTATACCACCAGGGTTTTATATAAAACTATTAAGTTGTTTGTATGTATATGCAAAAAAATGACTATATTAAGGATTGATTTTTATTATGAGATATATTGATTATCTTATTCAACATCAACAGAATAATTTTTCTTTGATAATTTAGCTCTTAACCCTTTACCATAATAATAAAAAGCATAAGGAATCAAAACCATTGCAGAACAAATAAATGCTAATAACCAACTAGCCCATTGTAAACCTAATTTATGATACATTTGAGTAGTAAATAATGGGAAGGCAGCACCACACCCACCATTAACGAGAAGCTAATTTTTTTTGTAT